TAATAATAATAATAATAATAATAATAATAATAATAATAATAATAATAATAATAATAATAATAATAATAATAATAATAATAATAATAATAATAATAATAATAATTTGTTCCACATTGTCAGTCTGTCTTAGCATGTTGACAAAAAGAAAGAAAAAGCCCAAAATATTGTAGCATATATTGTATTGTTTTTATATTGTTCAAATTATTTGGTACTGGTCTTTGACTGTAATAAATTCATTCATTCATTCATTCATCCATTCATTGTAACACTGACTGAAATTTCATTCATTCATTCATCCATTCATTCATTGTAACACTGACTGAAATAAAATAGTACTCAGTTTGAGTTTTAGTGGATCCGCTGACACTGGAATGCAAATACATGACTGGAATACATATCCTCTTCTAGTTATGGATATATGTATAAATATATAGATCATGTACTTCATTTTCTGAAGATTAGGGTTAGGGATCCACCAAAACTCAAACTGAAATGAAATTGTTAGTCTACGTGTATATTTTAATGACTAACATAATCTCTAGCACGTTAAATATAATTAAAAAGGTAAATGTTAAAGGTTGATTTTCTTACAAATGACTTTTCCTTGCATTTCTGTTATTAGTACAAGTACAAAGAAGGTTACCGTAAGCAACTTGGACACCATGTGGGATGCCGAGACATCTATGACGATCCCAAGATGGTGCTGGCGATGCAGGTGGCCAAAATGCAAAGTGAAAGGGAGTACAAGAAGCATTTTGAGAAATATAAGACCAGGTTCAACAGTCCAGTGGACATGCTGTCCATCTTGTTGGCCAAGAACTGTCAGAAGCTGGTTAGTGATATTGACTACCGCCACTATCTGCACGAGTGGACATGTTTGCCTGACCAGAACGACGTCATCCAAGCCAAGAAAGCGTATGAGCTACAAAGTGATGTGAGTATTATAGACTTTTGATTTGCTCGTTTTTTTGATTCCTCATGGCATTTGGTAGACTGTCTCCCTTCATCCCCAGCATTATTGGGATACAGGCACATGTGCTTCATTCTCCTGATTTGATCCAGCACAGTGCCCAGCACATTCTGAATAAAGTGACTACAGTGATGTTACAGCATTTTGTTATGTAAACAATCACTTCCATACTGTCCTTTCACAAAACTACAGATGCCTGGTGTGCATTAAAGTAGGTGAGGCTGAGCTGAAGCTCTGAAGCAGACTGAGCACCTAACTTTGGTCTGCAGTGTTATTGATTGATTGATTGATTGATTGATTGATTGATTGATTGATTTGATTGATTGATTGATTTGATTTGATTTGATTTGATTTATACCCCGCCCATCTGGTCTTCCGACCACTCTGGGCGGCTTATTTTATGCTGAGGAGAGGGACCAGAGAGAAAACCTTCTCCCTCTGCTTCACATGCTTAAGCCCTGTGAGTGGCCTAGCCTTTTTCTTCCTGACTGGCTGGTTAGAACCGCCAAACAAAGAGGGGCATTCTGGGAACACTGAAAGCCCCTGGGCATGGATGCTAAACCATGCATCGCCATTTAGTCATGCCCAACTCTTCGTGACCCCATGGACCAGAGCACACCAGGCCCTCCTATCTTCCACTGCCTCCTGGAGTTGGGTCAGATTCATTCTGGTAGCTTCAATGATATTGTCCAACCATCTCATCCTCTGTCGTCCCCTTCTCCTCTTGCCTTCACACTTTCCTAACATCAAGGTCTTTTCCAAGGAGTCTTCTCTTCTCATGCGATGGCCAAAGTATTGGAGCCTCAGCTTGCATGCTAAACCATGCAGCCCCAACCTAATGCATCACATCCTGCCTTTGTCTCCCATTCCCTAGCTGTTGGCATACCTGTGGAGTCTCAGGATAAGTTGATTATACTCCCAAGTGGTATGGAAAGCACTCTGCCCGTTAACTGTGTAAAACTGCAACCATAGTAGCTGAGTGGATCTCTATTAAGAGGCGGTTCATCACTGATTACTTTTGAGTAAAGGGAGAGACACTAAAAGTTTTCTTAATAGCATGAATGAAATATCTCAGCCATATTGATAATGGGTTCCTAATGGGTTCTTTTGCAGAATGCCTACAAATCAGACCTGGAATGGCTGCGTGGCATTGGCTGGATGCCGGAAGGCTCTGTGGAAGTGCTCAAAGTGAAGAAAGCTCAAGACCTCCTGAATGACAGGTTGTATAAACAACGCCCGGATGCGCTGAAATTTACCAGCATTCCAGATCCACCACCTGTTGTCTTGGCTAAGATCAATTCCCAGCAGATCAGCGAGGTAGGTCACTATACATAGAACACGGTGAAGGACTAGTGAGATGTCAGTTAAGGATGGTGGTTCGCCTTTGAAAAATGAGAGAAAATGTCACAATGCGATAGAATGATCTGGCCTTTGCTTCATCCACAGAATCTGTATCGTGAAGCCTGGGATAAGGACAAGACTCAGTTCAAGCTTCCTGCTGATACCCCTGGAATGCTGCAATCCAAGCTTAATGCTCTGATGATAAGCAATGTAAGGGAATGAGCTAACAATATACTGTACCTCTGGGTGTGTCAAGTGCTTTTTTATATACTCATAACTTTATTAAGTGTTGCTGGGTTATGTTTTTTCATTGTTAACTGCTTTCAATTATATACATATATTTAGCAAGTCTATAGTATTTTTTTTTTAGCAATTATTCTCAAAGCCGGTGTTTGTGTGATGTTTGTATGTATGTGATTTGTTTACAATATTCATTAAAAACAACGATGTACTCATAGTAATGATTATTGGAACAGTTCCTTAAGAAGTTTATATATTTACAGTATGTGTAAATCATACCACCCTGCCAAGGTAATGTATAGTAAAAGGATTAAAATGAAACAGTGGCAGAAGCAGCACAAATAAGGATATCTTGGAAGCAAGTTCTGCAGTGCAGGGCTACCCATGACCTTTATGGATCTTAATGGCAGGACAGTAAGGAGTATAAAGGATAGTTATTTCAGTTCACAGGGAGTGTTATTAAGGCCTAGGCAGGCTTTCAAATAACCTAAACTCAAACAGTTTGTGGGTTTAAAGGTAAAAACTGGCATTTGAATTCTGCAGTATGACAGAAATACACCGGCAGCCCAAATGGTACAGAATCTCAACAGAGATTCGGGCCTGTGTTTGTGAGTCTTTTTTAAAGGCAGCTCCATGTAGAGTACATTGCAGTCATCCAGACCAGTGGTCCTTAACCTTTGTTACTCGCATGCTTTTGAACTGCAACTCCCAGAAACCCCAGTCAGGACAGCTGGTGGTGAAGGCTTCTGGGAGTTGCAGTCCAAAACTCCTGAGTAACCCAAGGTTAAGAACCAGTGGTCCAGACTAGATAGTTCTTGCTCTATTGAGGCCAATGCTGTATGCCGCTCTAGCATTCTGAATACCAGTTTGTCTCCTTACGCCTTCCTCCTCCTCTAAGCTGAATAAATTGTAGTCTAGATCAGCACATAACCTCTGTATGGGTATGTGTGTGAGAGCCAGAGGCATTTAGCCTTCTTTTGTGGATGCATTCCTCATTACAAGACATTCACATTTTATCCCACTTTTTACATTGCAGTCCTTTCCTTACTTGTCTGGGAGTAAGACTCCCTGAATGAAGTGGGAATTATATCTCCTTTCCTTACTTGTCTGGGAGTAAGACTCACTGAATGAAGCGGTAAACATGCACAGGATTGAACTGTCAATTAATCAATGTCTATTTCGTTTAACTATGTGTTTTATATTTGCATAGAAAATTGTGCATTATTTGTGATTGCAGAAACATTATACTGGAGCCTGGGATGAAGCCAAGGCAAAAAGTTATGACATAAGAGCAGATGCTATCTCAATCAAGCACGCTAAAGCTTCCAGAGACATTGCTAGTGAGGTACGATTTCATTTACAGCAATTTTAGAAGTAGAGTTAAAGTATGTTTTCAGGTCATGAGTTTATACATATACTTGTATGGGAGCAGATAATCTTATCTCAGAATTACATTCCTTCAGCCTAACCCCGTTCTCTGTATCTGCCATACCCTAAGAACTATACTCTCCTTCTTTCCATGCTTTCATGTGCATGACTTTGAAAGTTTGTTCTTTCACACAATGCTAAGGTCAGACAGGTTAAAATATTCCTTTGCTTAAAAAATCAAAGGGATCGCTCTGGTCTTTTTTATTATTATTATTTTGGAGACATAGGGCTGTGTGTGAATTTTTAACGGTTTGAAAACTTTACATTGATTAAAAATAGTGCTTTCTACTACCAAAATATTCAACACCTTTTTTTGCTTAATTTTTTTTACTTAAATTAAAAAAATGCCAGAGAGACTTCTTGTGTAATGTCTAAAGCAGGTAAAGCATTCTTGAATGTATAGAGACAGCAATCTTCTGCATGCTTACAAGGAAGTAAGACTCAACATATTCAAGGGGGTTAACTAAGAAAGTAACCTTGGGATTGCATAACTTCCCATGGTTAATTGCAGCTAATTGCTGAAGTTGTGCAGACAGGTGTGTGATTAAGCACACAATCCTAGATATGCTTCAGTGCCTCATTAATTAGTGACCATTATCAAGTTACACAGACCATATGCAAACACCAGTAGGATTCTGGCTATTGTATAGTATGAAGAGCCTGTTGAGGGGTCTTTATTCAGCCTATTAAAAACTGGAGCACTGAGGAAAGGTACTCAGTTTTTTCCCCCTTGGGGCTTGTTCTAACAATTTATGTTCTGTTCTAACAATTTGATCCCTTTCCTGCTTAGTACAAATATAAAGAAGCTCATGAGAAGCAGAAGGGCCACTACATTGGAATTCCTTCAGCAACAGAAGACCCTAAACTTTCATGGGCTGCCAAAGTACTGAAGATGCAAAATGACAGACTATATAAGCAGGCATACCATAATTCAAAGGCCAATATCACCATACCTGTTGACGCTGTGCCTATCCAAGCAGCCAAGCAATGCCAGACTTTAGTAAGCGATATCGATTATCGCCATTATCTGCACCAGTGGTCTTGTCTGCCGGACCAGAATGATGTCATCCAGGCAAGGAAAGCATATGACCTCCAGAGTGATGTAAGTATATTTCTGTTTTGCAAGGGCGCACACACACACACACCACATTAGTGTTGCAATAAAAGGCATATGATACTTTGTGTGTGATTGATTTTCTTCTCTCAGTTCCCCTTCTGCTTTCTTGAGCCTGCTTGAAATTGTTTTGCAATAACGAGCTTTAGTTGTGCTAGGAAACTTATCACAGGTATTGAAGAGGCGCATCTCAGGAGGCCGCTGTGGATCTGTATCCTATGTCGTATCCTAGGTAGTTCTACTTTCTCTAAGGGCTGAGACCAAAATGCTAATTGATCAGTAACCAACTGGAGCAGTCATTCTTATGCAGGGCTTCCCAAAATAGGCTGGTGGGCCCTCAGAGCCTCACGGATACTTTGGTGCCTTGAGTTATGAACTTAATCTGTTTCAGAAGATGGTCGTAACTCAAACTGGCTGTAGCTCAAAGCACTGTTTCCAATAGGAATGGATTGAAATGCAATTAATCCATTCCAATTATTTTTTGGTAGTATCTCAAGGCGCCAGTCGCAAGTCAAAGCAAAAGGGTAAATCCGTCCACTAGGGGGAGACTTGTTGTTTTTTTTAACCTAAGATTGATTGATTGATTGACTATACTTATACCCCGCCGATCTAGTCATAGACTAATCTGGGTGGCTGACAGCAAGTAAATAAAACAATTTGAAAGTAAAAGTGATTTACAACAACAATAAACAGCCATTCAAAATGGAAAAGATGGCTTAGGTTTAAAAAGGGGCAGGAAAGGAGGGAGGGAAGGAGGGAAAGAACAATAGGGAAAAGAGGAAAGAAAGAAGGTCATCACTGAGGTACACAGACCCCTCAGACAAAGGTTTGTACTTTTAGGCACAAAGAGATAGAGAGAGAAGACAAAGGGGGAATGTTTGGCGTCTAAAACACCTTTTAAACCAAACATGTATTAAACAAAACATGTTTTAAACCAAGCACCTTTTAAAACAAAAGAGAGATTTCCCCCACTAAAAATACACACTACGAGAAACACACTGCAAGAGTCATCAAAGCACAGAAACTGAAATATAAATCCTCATCTGTGTTTTAGGCCTTGTGCAGCCTCTTTTGGGAAGTGTGAGTGATCAACTCAAAGGGATTTTTTTTAAAAAAGGGATCAGTAGGGGTAGGCCAAACGAAGCAATTCTGAATCTTTTAGAATTCACAGACATTTGTTTTCGGTTCTTTCAGTGTGTTACCTGGTCATCTTCTTTCTTCACAAGTGAGATATTTTTATTTTGTGTTGAAGAAAGATTGGCTCCTGAAAGAGAACTGTCCCTCCCTGCTAAATATGGCAATTTCTTTGGTTTTCTTATGCACCCGTGCCCACAGTGTAGCTATAGGGAATCATATAAATCACTTTAGTATCTATAGGCCAGGGTTATTGATGTGTGTGTGTGTGTGTCTGTGTGTGTGTGTGAGAGAGAGAGAGAAGTGCAACTGGTCTTTGTATATTCTTTTTCTTTCTACTTTTTCAAAATTGTTTTATTTCTTATTTATTTTTATTGGAGGGACCAGATTGGTCATTGATCACAGATATTCAAAATCTGAATTGCTTTTCTTTGGAATCAGTCCTAAACTATCTGCCAAGCAATGCTCATCGTTAATGCTAATATTATCCTACATTTGGCAAAGATAAAATTTGATTTTCATGTGAGAAAGCCTGAGACAGAACTTTATCGGAGGAGTGTTTTTTTTAAATGAGGGAGATGAATTCTCACCCAGCATGTTCATGAACATAAAAATAGAATAGAATAGAATATCATCTGAATGACATAGCACTCAGAGAAGAATTCCCCTTTCTAGTGATCACTTTCTTTAAAAATGCCTTCTAAGGCCTAAAACAATCCAGGAAGAAGAAATTACAGTGGTGCCTCGCTTAGCGATTGCTTCGTTTAACGAAGAATTCACTTAACGATGTGTTTCTTGGAGGAATTTTACACATCGTTTAACGATGTTCTCTATGGGGGATTTTCACTTAACGATGTCCATTTTCGCTCATTTTTAAGTGTCTTAAAATGTTTGAAACCTTTTTTAAATGCTTGGATTCGGTAGTGCACCTTGTGAAACATGTGCAAACTTATTTTGGCTTTGTTCTAAGTCTTCGTTAATTTTTGGTGATTTTTTGTTTTTCCCCTTTAAATGCATTGAACGGACAGGTCAACGGATTTAAATGAGGAAAACAAAAAATCACCAAAAATTAACGAAGACTTAGAACAAAGCCAAAATAAGTTTGCACATGTTTCACAAGGTGCACTACCGAATCCAAGCATTTAAAAAAGGTTTCAAACATTTTAAGACACTTAAAAATGAGTGAAAACGGAGATCAGAAAGCCTTTCAAAAGCATTGCAGCCGGCTGCAATTCTTTTGAATGGCTTTCCGTTGGGGGAAACATTGTTTCACTTAGCGATGTTTCCTATGGCGATTTTCGCTTAAGGACGGTAATCCATTCCCATTGGAACAGATTAACCGGTTTTCAATGCATTCCTATGGGAAATGGTGTTTCGCTTAATGATGTTTTCCCATAGCGATGGTTTTTTTGGAACCAATTAACATCATTAAGCAAGGCACCACTGTATGTTTAAATTGTACAACTTGTTCCCTTACTACCACTATTTGCAAGTTTGAATGTGTGCATGTCAAGTTTGAGGCAAAATGGCTTTGGAGTGTGTGTCAAGGAAGTTGTGGTGTCATAAGTAGGGATAAGGCCCTGCAAAATCTGAGGAATGACAGACACGGTTTCTGAACCCTCAGAGGTTGCCTGCCCTTGTTCTAACAATACAATTCTTTAAATACATGTCTGAGACTAAACCACATTGACCAAGGTACAAATTATTTTTGCATTTCTGTGTGTATGCACCACCATTTTCTTTCTTTTGTGATTTTCTTTGTGTGTGTGGGAGGTTTAGAGTTTTTGAGAGGAATTTGGAGGTATCTGTTTGTAAAACTGTTGCTCTTGGAATCTATCAGGGATGGAAAATGACATTTTTTGGCTTTTTTTGCATGGAGAGCTTGTGGAAGATCAAGGAAAGGTCAAGGAGGAGGGTGCTCGAAACATCCATAACAGCTACATGCTTTTGATGAAAATATAGTTCATATAACTTTGTTGACCCAAGTCATGGAAAAGTCAGTAGGGCCCAAATCTCATTTAAATAAGCGAGGCATATTCGTTATGACTTCCTTAAAATCCGATTAGTTTTATTCTCCACACAGCATGTTTGTTTTGAGAGAAATTGAACCCCCCTATTTTCCCTCTCTGGCCTTTTCTTTCACAGGCTGTGTATAAGTCAGATCTGGAATGGCTCCGAGGGGTTGGATGGATGCCTGATGAGTCGCCCATCGTGAAGAGAGTAAAATTTGCCCAGGAGATCCTGAGTGACAATCTGTATCGCACTCCTGCTGACCGCCTGAAATTTACCCCCATCGTTGACTCGCCAGATGTCCTGCTTGCCAAAACCAATGCTGAGCAGCTCAGTCTGGTATGTTTATTTGTTACTTTCAGCAGTACAGAGCAATTTGACACTTTTATCACAGTGAAGCCTCTGTTTGGATTAATTCACAATATGGTTGTGTTCTTATTGTGAAGGTAAGAATTTGAGCATCTGTACAAAAGGAATCACTGGATGGTTTTATATTGAATGTTTGCTTGCTTTGTAGGCTAAATATAGAGAAGCGTGGGATAAAGATAAAACGATGATCCATGTGATGCCAGACACCCCGGAAATCATGCTCTCCAGAGCAAATGCTATCAACGTGAGCAATGTGAGTATTGCTCTTTCTGCCTTTTTGTAAGTTTTATCACTGCAGTGTCTGTCAAGGTATTCTGTTTAAGGATGCTTTAGAAATTGCCAGTTGGTTACATGGTGAACATGTACAACAATGCCTTCAATTCCATTATAAAATGCCATTATGAAAATGCTGGCTGGCAACTTGTTCCTTTTTGTACTTTTCCACAACATTGTGTGTATAGTAGCTTTAGTTTGTATGATCAAACAAGTGGAGGTCTAGTAATAGCAGCAATTGACAGTGTAGTCACACTGAGCTAAGGATAATGGCTTATTCTAATACCTTGGATCAATGTCTGCCAACACACTCCTCAGTTTCTGACCTTATACTAGCTTAGTCATCTTTGCAACCTATCTTGATGTGAGGGCGCTTACCACTTCCATGCGCTCGTAGTCTCAAGATTAGACTACTGTAATGCACTCTACGTGGGGCTGCCTTTGAGATTGACGCGGAAACTTCAGATGGTACAAAATGCTGCAGCCAGACTTCTAACTGGGGTGAAGAGGCACCAACATATTTCCCCCATGCTGGCTGTGTTGCATTGGTTCCCATTCGTTTCTGTGTTGATTTCAAAGTTCTTACAATTGCTTATAAAGCCATAATTGGTTTAGGACTTCAATATCTGGCAGAATGCCTTCTCCCACCCAGCTTTGCCAGAGACACTCGTTCTAGCCAGGCTGGGCGACTGAGGGGCCTAATGCTGAGGGAGGCCCGGAAGGAAAGAACGAGGAACCGGGCCTTCTCGGCAGTAGCCCCTTGCCTCTGGAACAACCTGCCCATTGAAATCCGCCTGGCTCCCTCTCTGGGTGTCTTTAAAAGCAAACTTAAAACATGGCTATTTAGGCAGGCTTTCCCTCCTGCTATATACATATAATATTTACATTTTTTAACATCTTGGATTCTTGCATGTTTATTGGTCCTATTGTTTTTTTTTTAAATTTTGTAATGCCGCCCAGAGTGGACCATTGGTCTAGATGGGTGGTGTATAAATCGAATAAATAAATAAATAAACTTACCCTTGGTTAGTGGCAAACATATTGATTGTGTAGTGTATTGGTTTAGTGTATTGGCAGTGTCTCCTACAATGTAGGACACTGTCTCCTACAATTTGACCTGAAGTCAAGTAGTCATTTCAGCCAGTACCTCAATGCACAAGCTACAGCATTTCACTGTTGCTAGCTCTGCTGATACACTCTCACTCTGCATGAGGGAGACATTAACTGATACGAAGGCTATAAAAAAATTAGAAGCGATACAGAGTCTGTTAAAAACAGAAGTGATGAGAAAGATGTAAACTAAAAGGCGGCAACCTTTCAAAAATGTGAAGAGTACAATAATAACATGTTGTTGTTTTGCAGAAACTTTACAGAGACGCTTGGGACGACATAAAGAAATACATTGATTACAGAGTAGATGCAGTTCCAATCAAGACAGCCAAGGCTTCTAGAGAAATTGCCAGTGATGTAAGCATACAAATGGAATTTTGCTGTGGGGTTGGAATTTCACTGTTTCTAGATCTTTGAGTCAGATTAAATGAAATAAAAATGCAGGAAACAGAAAATGCCATATGTTAAAGCCAAGCAAACGTAAGGCCCATATATATCCTTTCAAATAGCCCAAGTTTTATATCAGGAAACTTTCCAAAGCAGAATATAGATGTCCCACTGTTCAATTAGATTTATCCCCAACCAATGCAGAAAAGATAGTCATTTAAAACTGCACTTCTGTACATAGATTATAATTGTATGCAGTGAGTGCATTGCACTAAACTCAGGATAAGACAAGCTTAGATTTTCTTGTGATAAGACAAGCATAGATTTCTGTTCTTAGATATTCAAGTTTTGAGTGTGCAACTCAGAGAAAGCAAGAGATGATGGGATATTAAAGATTAGTTGCCATTTGGTATGTTGGACATATAGAGTGTTTTCTGAGTAACTTGTTATTTATGATGCCCAAGTTAGAAAATGGGAACAGTTGTGTTTTATTTTCTTGTTCAAGTACAGGTAAACAATTTAGGGAAAATGTAAGATATTAGTAACTGATATATGTGGAATTCTAGATTCATAAAATGCAAAACGCGAATCCATTGTAATATCAAATTCAAGCATTTACACTGAGCCAAACTTAGCATAGTTAAACATGGAATGGTTCCCATTGGTGTCTCTCTACTGACAGATGCTTTTCAGTAGCATGGAGAGGAATGCAATGCCTGGGGGGTTTCTTCCTTCCCCTTTGCTCAGTTTGTTCCAACTTTCCCCCCCTTTTCACTGATGAATGCCTTCTGTCAGTGGAGACACAACAGTTGGATACTCCCACCATGAGATTTAAACCCTCAAATTCATAGTTTCTTTTAAATCTTAAGCCCAGTTTGTCTAGCTTCTTTTTGATTTGCCATTTCTCACTAAAAATGTTCCCCTTTTCCTCTTAATATATAAAGCCGAAAGCTTCCATAGGAAACCAGTTATGTATTTACGTTAAGGTTCTACTGGCTGATCTCGCAGATCTGCCATCGGAGGGATCTGCCAGTAGAATAGCTGTACTGGCTAAAATCTGCTAGCCATCAAAAGGGGAAGAGAAGGGGTAGAGTGACGTAGGAGTCAAATTATGCCAAATACAAACTTCCTTCAGGCAAGGAATGTAACTAATATGTCAGCAAAAATAACTAATTTCTAAGGTGAGAGGGATTTGGATTCATCACAGCTTTAGTGGCCCTCGTGTCATATTCAACTGGACCTCAAGCATCTTACTTAGTTGGGAACTGCACTATTAGTTTAATAGATTAGTAAGATATTTAGGATTTTTGCAAACCCTTCTCTCACCTAAGATATCATAGGTAAAAATTATAATTCCTTTAAATTTCTTTAAAATGTTATCAGTACAAATACAAAGAAGGTTACCGTAAGCAACTTGGACACCATGTGGGATGCCGAGACATCTATGACGATCCCAAGATGGTGCTGGCGATGCAGGTGGCCAAAATGCAAAGTGAAAGGGAGTACAAGAAGCATTTTGAGAAATATAAGACCAGGTTCAACAGTCCAGTGGACATGCTGTCCATCTTGTTGGCCAAGAACTGTCAGAAGCTGGTTAGTGATATTGACTACCGCCACTATCTGCACGAGTGGACATGTTTGCCTGACCAGAACGACGTCATCCAAGCCAAGAAAGCGTATGAGCTACAGAGTGATGTGAGTAGAAAGTTATAGACTTTTGATTTCCTTCTCTTTTTAATTTCTCATGGCATTTGGTAAACTACTATTGTTGGCTGTATAGTAATCTGAGCTGGGCATTATATGTCTTCATGTAGGTAATAAATGTTTACTTTTGTGAAGTGACACTTATTAAATGCATTATTTTATGTAGCTTCATGAGGGAAATTTAGTATTGTTTGACCAACAGCCAGACTAGTATATACTCTATTATTTAAATTATAAATTCAGACCACAAGCAAACATACATATCCATACAAATAGATCATATTGATTTCTGTTTGGTATGAATTTGAAGTCTGACATTATTCTTTACATTACCATAGATAAATATTTGTGGCTTATAGTTATATCAGAATGCTTATTGACAGCAAGTATAACTAAGTATAGGATAGTAATACTATTTCCCAGAGTATCTTGTGCCTGATTATTTCCTCTTTTCAATTTCCTATTCCTTGACACCTTTTGTAGAACATTACAAATGTATCTCAGTTTCATCTGTTGAGATAAAAGCAGTCAACCTGAATATGTAACAGTGCAGGCAAAAATAAACATGTTGCAAATAACTTTCCATTTTATTTTTATTTATACAGGCTGTTTATAAATCTGACCTGGAATGGATACGTGGAATTGGCTGGTTGCCAAATGACTCAGTTTCTGTCAACCATGTCAAACATGCGCAGGATATTTTAAGTGAGGTAATAATAATTACAGTACCTCCCAGAAATATATCTTTGTTTCAAATTTTTTTTAAAAAAACTGATGGATTTATTTATTTATTTATTTATTTATTTATTTACTTACTTACTTATTTACTTATTTACTTATTTACTTATTTACTTATTTACTTATTTACTTATTTACTGATTTATTTGACTTCTACCCCACCCCTCTAGACAGAGTCTATTTCTTGCTGCTCTGTCTTTGATTTGGCTGTTTTAGGATATAAAACTCTCTCCCCACTTTCTCAAGATGTCAAAAATAGTTCCTTCTCAGAGGAGTAGAGCTCTTAACTCAGCGTTAATGGCTTAGTTGCGAGGGTCAAGCTAGATGAGATGACTAGCATATTTTTAGAAGAGGTGCTCCACCAAGTGGTAAAATACATCTGCTTGTCATTGTGTATGATTTCCCTCATCTTTTGTATCTTGAATTTTATTTGATCTGTCTTGCAATTATAATTGGAAAATAAATACTGTATGAGCAAGTCTGATATAACCAAGGTACACATCTCATGCCCCTGCATGTTTTCTTCCTCAGTTGTCTCTCTTGTGTTACACTCACTGTTGGTATGATCAATTATTTGACCATATTTTATTGTTTCATTTTTTTTTTTACAGAGGTTATATCGTACAAAAGTTGAGAGTCAGCCATTTACTCCAGTGGCTGACAGGGTTGATTATATCACAGCCAAACAAAGTGGGGAAATACTGAGTGACGTAAGTAACAATGTTGATTTTAATTTCCATTTCCACTTAAATGAAATGGCCTATGCATGAAGAAGAAAAACACAATTCTTTTAAGAAGGCAGCAACATTTTATACAAAGAAATCATTCGGCTTTTCACAAATCAAGACAACCCTATAAATCAATGGTCCTCAACGTTGGGCCTCCAGGTGTTATTGAACTACAACTCCCAGAAGCCTTCACCACCAACTCTGCTGGCCAGGATTTCTGGGAGTTGAAGTCCAAGAACATCTGGAGGCCCAAGGTTGGGGACCACTGCTATAAATTAACAAAGAAAAAAAAAGATTTATATGACTCCTCGGTCACCTCCTCATCACAATCATTTTCTCGTGCCGACGGCCCAGGAGTTGAGAATTGTTCTTATACAGCTTCTTTATACAGAGGAGCACAAGCTGCTGGGCAGAATGTGTGCTAATTAATGGAAATTATTATTTTTTTGTACGTGTTAGAATACAAAGCCAGAACTGGGTGTCAGGGAGGGAACTGTATGACACATCTATTAACTACAGTTCTGGAAGCAGAATCCTCTGTGCTCTGGTTTTCATAACAGTTTAAAAAGATAAAAGGTCAGCTGATGACAACAGAAGCTGTTACCAGATGTTACCGCATGAAAAAGCAAGACACACATTTTTATAACTTGAAATTTGGAGTCAGAGGAAGAAAAGATGTACCAGTCCCAAAGAATTCCAGATACGTAATTATTTTTGTAGCTCAAACCTTGAATATTCCAACAAATAATCAGGAAATTACAAAAATACGCTTGGATCAGTAGTTCCCAACCTTGGGTCCCCAAGGACTACAACTCCCAGAACACCTGACCTAGTGGCGAAGGCTTCTGGGAGCTGCAGTCCAGGAGCATCTAGGGATCAAGTTTGGGAACTGCTGGTCTAGGTGGTGGGACGCACTTTGTTGCTGTCTCGTTGGATGTTCTCTGCCCAACACGCAGGGTTATTTATAGTTTCCTTCAGGCTTGCTGGTATATGAGTTATTAAGACAGTGTGAAATAACACACGTAACTCAGTAGAATAAGTTCAAAGTTTTGAAAACCAGCTTTTTCCTACCTAGGTCATGGTTCCATGTCACCATTCAGTCATGTTTTTTCTCAACCACAAGAAACAAAATACCCTATGGGACCAGACTGCTGCCTGTGCAGTGTGCTTTATTATTGACAGCTAATTTCCTCACCTACGTAACTTGCCAGTCTGTACCTTTATGTGTTTATTTTCTCTTTTTTCAGATTAAGTACCATCAGGAATGGAATAACACCAAGGCAAATTATACATTAACAGAGACACCACAACTGGAAGCAGCTAAAGAAGCAGCCAGGATTCTCAATCACGTACGTACTCTCTTCATAGGAACAGTGGAGAGCCGAGAGGTCTTTAGCTTTGATGGAAGTTATGGTGGAGTACAAGGAATTAGGGCTGAATCCCATGTGAGGCAGTCAAATGTTGCTCTAGAGATAAAGTGAGTGGGACCAGCACAGAACACTTATGTCAGTATTTAGATAGCCATGTCTTCTTTCAGATTACTCTATACTTATCCCCACCCACCACTATCAAACACTCAACACTGAACGTACTGTAAGTGTTCTTCTTTGGCTTGTTTTAGTTTTATCTCAATTCTCTCCCTGCCCACATCTCTGTTTTTTACTACAAGCCTTAGGGATTTTCCAAGAATGCTATTACTTCCTTCTTGTTTCTCTAGAGCAATGATTCCTAATCTTAAGTAATCCAGGTTTTCTTGAACTGCAGTTCACAGAAGCCTTCATCACCAGCTGTGCTGGTCAGGATTTCTGGGAGTTGCAGTACAAGAACACCTGGGTTACCCAAGGTTGGGAAGGGCTGCTCTGTAGCTTCGTTTTGGTGACATGCCTGAATTCTAGAAGCAGTCAAAGTATTTATGGTCTTTGAGGTTCACCTGTTTTTAAAATGGGAACAGTGGTGGTTATAATGATTCGAATTGTCATAAACTCTCGCACTCTTAACTCTCTTATTTCAGCATCTGTACAAAGAAAACTGGGAGAAAGAGAAAGCGACTGGTTATCTTTTGCCTCCTGACAGCGTGCCTCTCGTTCACGCCAAGCATTCAAGTGACGTCCAAAGTGAGGTAAAATCTCTTCAGCTCCAAAATGGGAACAGTGGTGGTTATAATGATTCGAATTGTCATAAACTCTCGCACTCTTAACTCTCTTATTTCAGCATCTGTACAAAGAAAACTGGGAGAAAGAGAAAGCGACTGGTTATCTTTTGCCTCCTGACAGCGTGCCTCTCGTTCACGCCAAGCATTCAAGTGATGTCCAAAGTGAGGTAAAATCTCTTCAGCTTTTGCAGTTGTGAAGATTTCATTGAAAGGGCACATCCTTGCAACATTATAACATTGTAAACTTTGTAAACTTGCAGTGAGGTCCAAACCTCTGACTTGAGGTTCAAAATGCACTTGAAGGGAAATGTGTATTTTTTGCTCTTGCAGTGCCTTCCCTCTGTACATGCAAATCCTCCACAGCTGTGTGCCTCATACTCACAAATGCAGTCTGGGTTTATCTCCTGATGCCAATCCAAGAAGCAAGCTATTTGCAAAATGCAGATTGAAGCAAGCTCTGTTTGGGAGAAACAAACGTATTTTATGTTTTCACGGAGTTCTGCTTCTAATTATTTGTTTTCCTGCATCGAGCAGGGGGTTGGATTTGATGGCCTTATAGGCCCCTTTCAACTTCACTATTCTATTATTAATGACATGCTAAATCTGTTGTCTAGTTCTCTCCTCAATAGCTTACTCCTTTTCAAATTGTCTCCCCCCCCCGCCCCCGTGGATTGTTTTACACTTTTAAAGAATGCGGGCCATCAAAGCCATAAACTACTATAACATGAACACAATATAATAACTGGAATCCTACTGGTGTTCAAGTAAGATTTATGAACTTGTGTTCTCTAATTGCTGCAAATTGACAAAGTGCTAGGATGTATCTCATTCACCTAGCGGGTTACTCCCCTGATTAAGCAACTGGGATGTTCCCTGGCCAATCATCAGTTACCTACAATTAGCTGCAAGAAAAGTTATGCAAGCCTTATGTAAGCACCAGTAGGATTCCAGCCAATGTATCTCAGTAAGAATGCTTGAGTCATTTAGAATGGGGGGGGGGGAAATCTAGTGTATACATTTCAAGTATCTGTGTTCTCCCTTTTCAGCTAAAATACAAGGCAGATTACGTGAACCAAAGGGGTCACTACGTTGGAGTCAATAATATGAGAGAAGACCCAAAACTGGTGTGGTTTGAGCATGCTGGCAAGATCCAGAATGACCGATTGTACAAAGATGCATACAACAAGACCAAGTCTAAAATTCACATACCTCCAGACATACTATCAGTCATTGCAGCCAGAGATTGCCAGCATGTGGTCAGTGAAATTCCATATCGTCATTACCTTCATGAATGGACATGTCATCCTGATCAGAATGACTGCATCCAAGCAAGGAAAGCTTATGACCTTCAGAGTGATGTAAGTAATTATGTAATTAGTTTGTGAACATTTAATTTATTTAGGAATCCGACCTACCAGTAGACATAAGAGATATATCATTTGTTAGATTTTTTAAAAAGGCTTAGATGTATTGTTTTTTTTGCATAGATGTAAATAGCTCTCTTTATCATGTTTTTCATTTTTACAGAACATTTATAAATCTGATCTGGAATGGATCCGTGGCTGTGGTTGGATCCCATTAGATTCAGTGGAGCACCGGAAAGTGAAGAAGGCTCAGGACTTGATAAACAAGGTAAAATAACTTTTTTCATACATATACACAGTAGCATCCTGTTCATTTTCTATAAGTGTTGTTAATGATTATCATCTTTTTCTACAGCGGCTCTACATAAAGGAAGCCATTGATAATTTTGCCAATTTCACTCCTGTGGAAGACCCCCCGGATGTTGTTTTAGCAAAAGCAAACTCAATCAATCAGAGTGATGTAAGCATCCTTTTTAAAATAGAATTGTTGAGTGAATCAAATATTTTCTCTTAAAATGTGGCTGCAGTAGTTTGTACAAATTACTGAAGAAAGAAATGAGTAAATGTTAAATATGGTAAAATGCCTCTGGATTATTAACACCACATTTCAATTTTATTTTTAGCTGAAATACAAAGAAACATTTAACCAAGAAAGGGGCCACTATATTGGTTCTGATGACACTCCAGCCCTGAGTCATGCTAGAGAGATGTCTAAGCTCTACAGTGATGTAAGTTTGAGGTGGTTTGGGTCTTCTGAGATTTAGTTTGGAAGGTACAAACTGTATTTTTGTTGCTTAGAACTATGAGGCCATTCTGTGTGTGTTTATCTTCAGGTTTTTGTTTTTTGTTTACCTATGTGACTATTGAAATTCCCCATCTCTATACACCTCACATTTTGACTATGGGCTGCCACTGTCACTGTTCTGCCCTTGTTTTCAGAGGCAGCCTGTTTCTAATCAATTTTCAGACTTCTAGAGTGAGTATATTGTGTGAGAACACATTTGAAAGACTGGCAAACTTAACAGGTTATAAAGTGGTGTGGACTGCAACCCAGAGTACGGACTAGTCCGTGAAAGATTAGGCCACAATCTGTATTTTAGTCTTACCGGTGCTGCAAGACTCTTTGGTATAATAAACACCATTGCCCATTTGGTTTTTTTTAATAACATAAAATAAAAATGTGCTAGCTACTTTTAGTGATCTCGAGTCCCAATGCATGGTTGTTCCCCTCGGCAAGTCTCTGCTGCCCAAGTTCATGCATTGGGGGGGGGGAGCCATTTCTTTGGCAGAACATTTGCCAACAGAGGGTCTCGGATTCACACCCTGGTATCTTCAAGCTAAGACTGAGGAAGCAAGAACATTGGGTGACCCACTAGATATGGGGTGGGCCACATGGAGTGCTCCTAGCACCCCCTCCTCCACAAACACACAAACATTTTTATAGTTTTTAGAGAAAAGAAATGACAGCCAAAAAGTCCTCTTGTGTGTTCTAGGTGGTGGGGAGGACAATTCTGCCTTTTCCGAGGGCTCCCTGGCACCCCCAAATTTACTTTTTAAAAAATGGCTACTACAGAGAACGCAAGGAACGTCTTTTCAATACATATGTGTGGGAAAAATCTGGGAGAATGGGGATCATGGGGGAAGCCCTCCAAGGTCCAAGCAGTGGCCAAGGGGCTGCTCTCAGTCTTTGGAAGCTGTCTACCCCTCTGTGAGAGAGGTGTCTTCACTCAATCAAAATGGGACCTGCCCCAAGCTAGCGCTCTTCACATCAGTGCGAACAGAACTTAAACCATCAGCACCCTTCACCATCCTGTTATTTGGAGAGACAAATAAGTTCAGTCAGTAAACAGCAGCTTCATGTATAGCTTGTGAAAATAAATGAGTGTAAGCTGAAAAGCACATGTTTAAATTATTGATATGTACTTTCCTATGTGGTGGACATATGTCCTCCAATCCAGCTGGTTTTGGTCCAGGGTTTTTACAGAAACAGAACTGATCAATGGGGGAAAAAATCATCAGGTCATCAAATTTAGCGCTTCTGTCCTTATTTTCAGGCCTTAAGAAATAGTGAATGCACAAACAATTAATTGTATTTTTCTATATGGCAGCAATTTTAGAAATTGCCGCAAGCTGGGAGGGAATTTCTAATTTAACTTTATATGCATGGAGATATAGAATATGGCCTATTGCCCTAATGGAAAAATCAACTCATCAGTTCAGATTACTTAAGCAACCATACTCCCCAGATGATTTTTTTCCAAACGTGGTTTCCTTTTATTTATTATGTTAGTAAGAATGAGATGACTTGTTTTCCACCAGCCTCCCTTGCCAATCTTTGGTGCGATATTCTAATCTGATACAGATTGCAATAGTGTGGAGTTACTATATCAGATGATATATTTCTGGTAAAAGACTCTTTTTATTTTGTTGCTGATGATGACATGTTCTTTCAATAAAATTAAAACAAAAGCAAAAACAACATATTGTGTAGTTCCATAGAAAAATTAAAGGAAGAGAATTTTGGCCTATAGAAGTAGAAGAATCTTGCTTCACGGTTTGTTTGTTTGATTGCTTCAATGAACAGACGTTTACATCTGCCGTAAAATGTATCACTTCATTAATGTCCCTCTTTTCATCATATAGTATGTGTATAAGGATTCATGGGAATCCATCAAGCCCATTGGGTATACGCTGCCTCCAGACTACATCCCCATTGTTGGCGCCAAACATGCTGATCACATTAACAGTCAGGTTTGTGCAAACATTGCTTTATCGTTAATTGTGATATCTCTCCTCCTTTCTTTTTCCCCCCCGGACTGTGATTTTTCTTATCTAACATATCCCATGTTTGCATATTCCAGCTGAAATACAAAGAAGTGTACGAGAAGCTGAAGGGACACTATCTGGCTGGAGCTAAGATAGATGACTTCCCTAGCGTTGTCCATTCTCTTGCTTTCCAAAAAATAAGAAGTGCGGTAAGGAGTTTTGCCCCCTTCTTCTTTCATTGGGTGGGGTTCTTCCTTGACTCAGAATCGTTACAGCTGAAAGGTTACCCAATGTGGGGGGTGCAGGTGGGGAATGCATGTGTGATAATGTTTTCTACATTAATATTCTGCTTTTTTTTTTTAGTTGGCCTACCGGAAGAATTATGAGGACACCAAGGCACACATTCATATCCCAAGTGACATGATCAATCATGTGCTGGCTAAGAAATGCCAATATATCCTCAGTGACCTTGAATACCGAACCTACCTGCACCAGTGGAACTGTTTACCTGAAGAGAATAATGTTATTCTAGCCAAAAGAGCTCAGGAAATTCTAAGTGATGTAGGTATCAGTCTTTACCCTTGGAAAGATATTTTATTTTTTCCTTTAAATAAATAAGGAAAGCCTACGTACAAATGACTCACACTTTTGCCTGCTGGAGAACTATAGTGTGATTCTGAACCAGGTAGACACTAGGTCAGAACTTTCTGTATGAGCTTTTCATTAAACAGTATGGAGAATGTTCACTCCCTCAGTGCTACGGCCAGATTCTTGAAGGATAAATGTCTCAAAAGTTATTATCGGTGATGGTGAAGCCGAGCCCCTGTGTTCTGAGGCCATATGCCACTAAACACCAGTTGCTATGGAGATACATCAAGGAGAGGACTGACACCTTTCATCCCCTACAGCAGTGGTTCCCAACTTTGGGTCCCTGGATGGTATTGGACTACAATTCCCAGAAATTCTGGTCAGCACAGCTAGTGGTGAAGGCTTCTGGGAGTTTTAGTCCAAGAACATCTGAGGACCCAAGGTTAGGAACCTCTACTCTATAAGGCTGACCCAGGACACTGTGCCATCTGCAGCAAAGAACAAGGTGGTGCTCCTTTGCATTCCATGTACAAAGGCCACTTGGATTGTAATTGACTCTTTCTTCAGCACTGACCACTGTGTTCTCCACTGTGCTTGACAGCTGCAGGCTAGTTCAAGAGGGCCAGGGCAGGCCATTGGGTACCTAGCTTTCCCTTCCAGCATTCTACTGCCATCTCCCAGTACCTGTGGCCTGCGGTGACTGCCCTAGTCCTCTCAATGGTAGGGCTGGCCTTGTGCCCTTCATGTTAGATTCCCAGAAATGTGTGGTTGAGATAAGATAGTGAACTGGGTGAGATGCAGCAAATTTCTTTCTCTTTTCTGTCCTAGTAAGTAGAAGAACATTTGCCTACCTAGATTACTGAGATAATTAATGTAACGTGCTTTGAATACATTATTCCTCGATATAAATATTAACTACTATTCTCTTACAAGTGGAAACAGCTTTTGCAGCTTCTGCAGATATTCCCACTTTGCTGGTAACAGCAATAAGCACATCACGTACACTTCGGTATATCCACTTCTTATTTACATTTGCACTGGATCCAAAATGTGCTATGACTGGAGATGCCAGTGTAATGTGTGATGAAACACAAGGAGGGCTTTGCCTGTCATCTAAATCATTCCTGTTTTAACTCTCTCATTTGCAGGTTGTATATAAGGATGACTTGACATGGCTGAAGGGGATTGGATGCTATGTTTGGGACACTCCACAAATCCTGCATGCTAAGAAGTCCTACGATCTACAGAGTCAGGTAAGCAAATGTGTTTTGTATTAGTGAAGAAGAAAGAGGAGGACTGGCAGCAGTGCAAGGCTTTTTAAGAATTTGGTTGGTCCAGGGAAGCCCTGTATCTCATTTATAGAGGAACGAGGGGATATCTGGGAGCACATTTAGGACAGATGTGCGCCTGAGATTTTGGAGACATTGCTCAGCAGAACAGACAATAATGGGCAAGAGGCACCTGGCTCAAGATGAGATTATTTCCTAGAACCTTTGGGGTTTCTCAATAGATAAGTGCATTAAAAGAGGGCTTTCTGTCCTTCCTTGGAGGAAAGCAGCCTTTGTTACTGTAAACAATAAAATGTGTAAGCTTCTATGGAAGTGCTTGGTCAAGCATGGGCAAAGTGCAGCCCTCAAAGTATTCTTCGGTAGCAGCTTCCATCAGCCCTTTCAAGGACAGCCAGCAGGAAAGAACAGTGGGAACCAGGAGTCCAGCAACATCTGGAGAGTTGCACTTTGTCTACACCTGCACCATGGTTGCATTAGCTAATCTTTAGAACACCTCTGGCTAGTTTCTGTTGGTCCGTGACACTAAGATAATTCCACCTGCCAAAAAATCAAAGTAAAAAAAAAATTGCATTTCTACCTAGTATGTCCATAGCTAATTAAACAGTGCAACTGCTCAAGGTACTAATGCTTTCTTTTGCCTTTGTTTTGCAGCTGCTATACACAAAAGCAGGAAAAGACAATTTGAAGAATTATGGTGTGATCATGGATACTCCCGTCTATGTAACTGCCGTCCAGAGTGGCATCAATGCTAGCGATGTAAGCCACTGTCCTTGCTTTCTCCACCCAAGTTCCTCCCTTGATCTCCTTTTATTTTCTGCAGTTCGCTCAAACTGAATTAATGCTTGAACTATCCTTTGATCACAGCTGAAATACAAGAAAGAATACCATAAAATCAAGGACCAGTATACAACAGTGGTGGAAACGGCAGATCGTGAAAGGATTGTGAAACTTAAGTATCTTTACAGCAGTGTGAGTGTTTTCACTGTATTGCCAAAGGAATCACAAGATGACCTTGTTTGGGAATGGGGGGCAAGGTCTTATGAATGGTTTTAAGCAATAGATATTGTTAAACACCATGCAAGATGGCTGCTAGCAGTATGAATCTTGCAGCCTCTCAGTCTTGATAAGAAACTTGGGGTATTGTAGAAGATGATACTAAAATGTCTTAGACCCTCTGAAGCCTAGATAAGTAGTTAGTTGCTAATCGTTATACTAATATTGTATTATACTGAAGTAGATTGTATTCAGGATATATGCAAAAGTGTTTTGATTCTTTCCACTCCAGAACTTGTACAAGAAAGCCTGGGACAAAGTGAAGTCCATCAGCTTCACGTTGCCTCCTGATGCTGTGCCACTGGCTCGTGCCAAAGAACTGAAGTATAACGCCAGCATTGTAAGTCTACCTGAGCAATGCATTTCTAAAGGGGTAATGGCTTAAATGGAACATCTGTAAGCGCAGTGGGACTGGCCTCTCCTTCCCTCTCCCCCTGTAGCATTCTGTGCCACCCAAAAACCTGCTCTAGAGGGTTTTCTCCATATGAAGGAGAGAGAAAGAATCTCCCTTCTCCTATTTCTTCAGCTGGAAGCTTTTCCATTGGCTGCCGGACATCTTGTTGGCTGCTGGTCAGTGTATAACTCTAAATTCACTCCTGTTTTCTTTTCTGTATAGGTAAAGTATCGGGAGGAATATGACAAGTTCAAAGCACTTTACACTCTACCTCGTGGTGTTCAAGATGATCCCAACACAGCAAGATGTCTGAGAGTTGGCAAGCTAAATATTGATGTAAGGATTCTTTTGGTGCAACAGCATCATGTTACCATTTTAATCTAGGCCACTTCAGTCTCAGCATCTGGAGCAGCTAGTTTTAGAGAAGGGGAAACAAGATTTTTAAGTGTTTGCTGATTCACCAAGAAATAAGAACACCCACAGTCTAGAAATTGGTTTCCTTTGGATAATAGTAGACTGGAGAATGATGTGAAAAGGAGAACTTGCCAGAGGCAATAGGCTGCTAACAGCAGGCTGCAAACCCCCAGATTTCAGAAAAAGAACTGCTTGTATTTCTGCAGCCTTCCCTCGCTGCTGTCTAGATCAAAAACACCCACTTCTTTGCTGCAACATCTTCTCTCTGCTGCTCTTATCAGTTAAATGGCGTTTCTTCCCAAAGGAAGAATAATTTTTAACCATTAGCTGTTCCACTCTAGTAATATTAGACATATATAGTGACGAAGTGATCAAATAATATCCAGCAGCTATATGTTTATCCATAGGTGTTTATACCAGTATTTATAAAGATCATTTCATAGAATAATGGAGTCGGAAGGGGCCTTTAAGGCCATCGAGTTCAACCCCCTACTCAGTGCAGGAAGGCAAATCAAAGTATATCTGACAGATGATTAACTTTCTCCGCCATCAAGTTCAACCCCCTACTCAGTGCAAGAATTCAAATCAAAGTATATCTGATAGATGGTTAATTTTCTCCTGAATGCCTCCCATCATTGGAGCACTCACCACTCCTGTAGTAATTGGTTTTGTTGTCATACTGGTCTAACAATTATGAAGTTTTTCCTGATATTCAGCCTAAATCTGGCTTCTTGTAACTTGAGTTCATTATTGCACACCCTGCACTCTGGGATGATCTAGAATAGATCCTGCCCCTCCTCTGTTTGTGAAGCATGCTATTATGTGAAGCATGCTGTTATATCTCCCCTCAGTCTTTTCTCAAGGCTAAACATGCCCAGTTCTTGAAGTATAAGCCTGAAGAATAACCTGGGGGCAAAATAAGCATTCCCATAGTGTATGTTTAGTTGCTTCTTCCAGCTATAGGTTAGATTTCAATAACTTTTAAAAAGCATACACCATTGGTTCCTAATATTGTTGCTTTAACTTCATAGCGCTTGTACAGAGAAGGATATGAAAAGAACAAGGCCAAAATCCATATAACACCAGACATGGTTGACATTGTATCGGCTAAAAGCACTCAGAAGAAAGTCAGTGAAATTGATTATCGTATCCGTCTGCATGAGTGGGCCAATATTCCAGACCTTCATGCCAATGCGCTAGCTCGAAAAGTCAATGACCAACTTAGTGATGTAAGTTTTTTTAATACTCTCATGTTTGTCTCACTGAAAACTGTGATGTAAAGCTTGCAAAGAAGATGATAAATGAACATTGATAGTGTGACATGATATAATATGGGTCCAGAACTTGCCTCCTATGGACCAAAGCCCAGTGGCATGACAGACATTGGTCAGAATCCATGAACTTCAGAAGACATGGTTTTATGCAACACCAAGTGCAATAGGATTTCAGCTGTCAGGGTGAAGTAGGGGTGTGGATGATTAAAGATGAAGTGAACAGGCTGGTTCAGACTAACCGGCCCTTTGCCTGCTGCTGGCTTTCCTGAACGATGCTCTGTTTCAATGACAGATGGTCATAAAAGGAGGGTCTAGATGACACTTGTCTATATTTCAACTTGTTTTCCTGACAAATATTATTTGCAAAAGAGAGGAGAAATGAACTCTGGTGTCAACATAAAACGTGGTGATTTGATTGAGAGATGATTCACTGCACTATGGAAACTAGTATGAGTTAGCAAGTCAGGATCAGTTCAGGAATAAAGCAATTTTTTTTTTTGGTTTGAGCTTTTCAAAATGGCCAATTAATAATTATTATTTTTTCCCCTCTCTTTAAAAATCCAATTTCTTAGATTGTGTACAAAGACGATCTCAACTGGCTCAAAGGCATAGGTTGCTTTGTCTGGGACACTCCTGACATTCTCCACGCCAAGCATGCCTATGACCTCCGGGATAATGTAAGTATGTTCGGCCCCAGCAGTTTCCTTTTGTTCTGGAGCTTGTTTCCTAAGCTATCAAAAATGTGCAGGCTAGGTGGAGCTTGTCCTTTTGTGATCACGAATGCATGGGTATCTTTTCCCTTGAATGCAGTCATACATACAGCAAAACAATCATCTAGTCAACCAACAGGATACATAATTTACAACTAGCACCTTTTAATTCATCTTCAGTCACGCTACTTAGCTACAGTAGGAATAACTTGTGAGAGGAGGATCATCCAATGAAACAAAACTAATTATTTATTTCCACTGTAGCTATATTGTACTCCCCTTGCAAAACATGCAAGGCAGAAGACCCACTGCCTAACTTGGTTTAAAGGCACTTAATCACAACACAATAAAAGTACTCAATGAAGTACACATATAAGTGCTCAATAAAGTTACTGTGCCATGATCTTTCATTCCACCAAGAGCAAATTCTATTTTCAGCCATAGCAGAAGATAGATATATTTTTGCCTCCAGATCCCATCAGCCCTTACCAGTATAGCTAATAGTTGAGGTGATGGAACTTGTAGTCTAAAAAACTTAGAGAATGCCATGATGGGGAAGATTGGCATAAGGCTTTGTGCCAATTTTTTTTTTAAAAAATCTAATTCAGCTCTCAGAAAACATTCCCACTAAGTTTTATACTACCTGTGCTTTTTTATTCAACCTCTTCTACATATGGCATTAGTCATCATGGCTCGTAAACCGAATTCAAACCTTTACAGTTTGACATGTAATGTTTTAGGCGGAGATGTTCTTTTGACAGTAAAGCCTGGCACAGCGACCATGTCACTCTCATGTCCCACCCTGTACTTCACATTCTGTTGCCACCCATGTCTGCATCACCAGTCTGCTATCATTAATTCTGTTGTGTTGTCTCTGTTGCAATTTAAGTATAAGCAGCCTTCTTTGGTCTGAGTTGATGCCACATTTTAAAGAGATATCGTTCCTCCCTCCAAATTTATTTTATTTTTTAAAATTTCAGCATATTTACAAAGCAAATGAAAGCAACATTCAGTTCATCATTTAAGATGATGTTAGTTTCAGCCTTGATTGGTTAATTTGGCTTTTGGGGGCATTTTCAGGTCAGCCTCTCTTGCTGTCTGCAGCTTGGAGAGGATTGGATATCAAGATAATTACCAGCCAGATAGACTGCTGTGCTTTATGAGCGATGATTCTTTTCAGACAAGCTGCTAATGGGCACGGGAAATAAGATCAGAAAAAAAAATACACATGTCTTTCCCTCCTTTCACAGTTCAAATACAAGGCAAAAGCAGAGAAGATGAAGAGCAACTACACTGTCGTATTGGACACGCCTGTGTATGTTCAGAATGTCCAAAGTGGACTTAATCTGAGTGAAGTGAGTATCTGGAGCCCTGCTCATCTGATGGTCCTCACTGTTTTGCTGGTAAAGACTTGGAGCTTTGATTTTGGACAGTTCACTGTTTGCCTTTATTGCGAGCAGGAACATTGCGGTAGTAACACCGATCATAGCTGCAACCAGCCATTTAGCAGATTATGTGTACCATTCAAAGACAATTCAGAGAGGCAATTAGCAGTCAGAGTGGTCCTCCCTACCTTGATTCGGACTTCACTGATTTTATGATAAGCCTTAATTAGATCAAGAGTGGCTCAGTTTTATTCCAATGTGCCAAAAATATTCATATTTTTCATAAATATGGTAGTAATAATAAACACAGACTTCCTTCGGTGCAAGTGGGCGGGGAGAGTTGCCTCCCAAAGCAAATTCTGGCTTGAAAGTAGTGAGCTTCTGCAGGACTGCAGCACAAGAGGCAGATCTTAAGGTCATTCCTCCATTTGATCAGTGGTTTAGGTTTCTGGCTGCAGAGGCAGAGGCTGGGAGTTTGATTCCCCACTTGACCTCCTTGACAGAGCTGGATTCTGTGATCTGTAGGTCTCCATCCAGCTCTGCAGTTCTAAATTCTAAGATTCTAAGCTCCTGCTCATTATCTGCAGCATGCACTTTTAACAAACAAACAACAACAAACACACTCTGCTATAGATGTAAAGGTGCATTTGTCACCACATATAATTCGTCCCTCAGAGCTGAGTTGCTGTATGCCCCAAACTCAGATGATTATACAAGTGCTCATTAGGTGTTCAGAACTTTGCACTGATCAGCTTTTTTCTACATTTCTCAGGAAGTGTTTGAAAAATCCTGCTTATCCTAGCTTTTCCTAAGCCTAAAGATATGGAATCAGCAATTACTTGAACTCATCAACTTCTGCTCTTAGTGGGCATGCTCACTAGTTGCTAGATCAACAGCAATTGTGAGCCCTTAATTGTGTTGTTCAGTACAATAAAGTCACAACCCACTTTTGTTTTTGTTCTATTTTTAAAATATTTCTGCACTGGAATTGAAAATCATGCCTATGCTATGGTAAACAAATGTTACATAGTCTGGGGGCAGCTGCCGAGAATTTCTGCAGTGGAATTGCAAATCATGCCTATGCTATGGTAAACAAACATACTGGGTGATGCCTATACAGGATTGGGCATTTCTTTGAAAATGTGCCTTTTTTTCTGTGTTGTAAAACAAGTTGTATTATACGTCCAGCACTCAATACAATATTGCTGAGTTTCAACTTAACTTAGTCTGTTCCTTAAACTCCCTAGGCTGTTTACCGCCATGAATACGTGCACAATATCAGAGGAAAATATACACCAGTGGATAAGACTGTGGATTTAGAGAGGGCGACTCATGCCCACAAGATACAGAATGAAGTAAGTGCTTGAACTGTGTTTGCAAGGATGACAAGAGAGGAGGAGGGAAGGAGGAGTCAGAGGGATTGGTGGCAGGATAGCAGCATTTTTGTTTTTAAAAATCTGAATAATAGAAAATAAGAAATGGTAGCAGCCAAGGCAATGTTGTGTTTAGGCTCCCAGCATAGCTGGTCCACATTGACTTGTGTGTTAGGAAAAAAAAATTCTTTTCTTGACTTCATCTCTGAACATCTCCTGGCCAACATGAAGCGGGATGGAGACGAAGCTTTTTTTTTTTTTTTTTTTTGGGGGGGGGGCAAGTGGGACAGGGGTTGGTCTTGGTACAAAGTCTTGATTAGTCAGAGTTACTGACAACGAACGGGCTTCTGTAAGTTGCCTATTAGCATAAAATGAATCTAACCAAACACATGAACTGAGAACAGGGGCTAAGGGGGAATACTCCACTGCCCTCCTGTTAATGTAATATGTTCATTAATTTGTTGTGAATTCGGTCTACCAACATTTCTGCTTCTCGTTATTCTTGGCAGGGTCTCTACCGAAATGCAGGCTTGCGGGCACTTCCCACTGGATATAAACTCCCACATGATATCCCTGCTTTCAAACATGCTAAACATGCCCAATATATTGGCAGTGACGTGAGTAGAGAATTGTTTTAATTCTTGATTTATTATTCAGAATAAATAGATGCAGTTGCACAGATAAGTGGGTACATGGTCACTTATACCAATAATAGGTAAAATCCTAAACTCATTGAAAATAGAGTAACTGTGGGCCATCATTGATTGTTATTATTAAGTCATAGTCATAGCAGCAGTATTTGACAGGAACATTAATCAAGACAAATCACAGTGATTGAAGCTCATGTAAAGCTCTTTTGGACATTCTGCCTCATGCTGTTGCTTCTTTTTCTACATTAATGATAGGGTATTGGTCTATTATTAAGAGTTTCAAGATGTAACTCTATACCTTCTTGCCTAGGAGTGAAAAAAATGTAGTTGGATTTCATGGAAGCAGAGGTTTTATCCCATTGGCTTCCAACACTGATAGAATATTTCCCTCTTCCAGAAGATTATGGGATCCTCTAAAGCAGTGGCTCCCAACCATGGGTGACGTAGATGTTCTTGGATTGCAATTCCCAGAAGCTTTCATCACCAGCTGTGCTGGCCAGAGTTTCAAAAATCCCTGAATTACCCAAGGTTGCGAAGGAAACTTGGGGTGCAGAAAGCTGTGGCAGGGGGAGGAGAAACTGTATGCAGTATTCAGTTTCTGCTTGTGTAAGGCAGGCCACTGTGGGCCATCAATGATTGTTATTATTAAGTCATAGTCATAGGAGCAGTATTTGACAGGAACATTAATCAAGACAAATAACAGTGATTGAAGCTCATGTAAAGCTCTTTTGGACATTCTGCCTCATGCTGTTGCTTCTTTTTCTACATTAATGATAGGGTATTGGTCTATTATTAAGAGTTTCAAGATGTAACTCTATACCTTCTTGCCTAGGAGTGAAAAAAATGTAGTTGGATTTCATGGAAGCAGAGGTTTTATCCCATTGGCTTCCAACACTGATAGAATATTTCCCTCTTCCAGAAGATTATGGGATCCTCTAAAGCAGTGGCTCCCAACCATGGGTGACGTAGATGTTCTTGGATTGCAATTCCCAGAAGCTTTCATCACCAGCTGTGCTGGCCAGAGTTTCAAAAATCCCTGAGTTACTCAAGGTTGCGAACCATTGCTCCAAAGGAAATTTGGGGTCCAGAAAGCTCTGGCAGGGGGAGGAGAAACCGCATGCGGTATTCAGTTTCACTTAGGAAAGTATTTCTGCTTGTCTAAGGCAGGCCATTTTGTACTCTCCTGTACCTGTCCTCCATCCCATACAGGAGGGTCTCCTGGGGCTGCAACTGGAGGCAGGATCAAAAGCATTTTTGTCCACACCACTTTGGATCCAGCCCACTTGGTGCAGTGCTGTTGCGATTTCTCTCTATACCATGGCCATAAGCTAACCCAAGTTGGGTGCTATCCAGTTCCACTTGTTCCAGCAATCACATACCAGCATTCTGTTCCCATTGAAATTGATGCTACTTGAAAATGTTTAATATGGGCTGAATCATGTCTCCTGTTTTAAGATTTCCCAAGCAAGTTTGGGAGGTATTCTGATGAAGAATCTATGGGCTAAATCCAGCTTGAATTTCAGATATAGTGGACCCATTGAAAGCAGTACATTTGTTTGAATGGGTCAATTTTAGTTGCAAGTAAAATTGCATTTCACTAATATTGCCATGGGGGGGCAATCCTTTAAAAAATAAGCCTTTTCGAATACATGTGTCCTAATTTTCCATGGGCTCCCAGTGAGGCTGAATCCAAAAATACAGTGGGAGAAGAAATTCTGATGAAGGCACTGCTCAGCAGACTACATGAGAGCCAGCAGGAGGTATTAGCTTTCCTTCTGCAACCTCCATTCCTTTGCACAATGCCTACACTTAGTTCCAGGTGTCTTTAATTTACTGATTTTATTGTGAACAAAATATGTATTATTTTATAGAAACAGAAGAATTTAAAAAAAAACCAAGCCCGCAACAAAAACAATCCTATAAACTATTAGGGCTGTTAATAAGACAGTCAATCAAAGATATCAGAAAATAGGGAAGAGGTGTGTCTAATTGCAATCTAAATACCTTAATCGACAGACTCCTACTGATGATTTATGCTTGCGTAAAGGTTGACTCATTATAGAACCAGGGGTTGTGGTTTCAGCTCACCACTGTGTCTCTAGGGGTGGAAAGCTATCTTGTGTAGCCTTGGACAAGCTGCTCAGTCCCAGGGCGCCCCCTAGAGGGACTGAAAAAAAAACTATTTGTGTGTATTCTGTACCTAGAAAACCCTGGAAAAGGTCACTGCAAGTTGGAATCAACTTGATGGAACATGATTAATTGATTAAGGGAAATTGCCTAAGTCTTGGTGGCAAACTCATTAGGAAGGTACTGTTTCTGTTCCTGGATAGGTGCCCAATCACACAATTGGCTACCTGTTCAGCAACACAGCCAGCATCAGTTAATAAGCAGCAATTTGCTGCCAAGACTTACACAATTTCTCTTATGCAAACATAAAATATCAATAGGATCTCTGCCAACGTTTCTATGTATTAATGTTACAGCTTGGAAGAGCTACTTTTTGGATGGCAGGGCCAGATAGCAATGCTGTTCAAAAAGTTTCAACTCAAAACATCTATTGATCCACCGATAGGTCATTGTATTCTGTCATGTTCTTTTTATTTTTAAATTTTCTGTTATAAATGCTGAATGCGTGCTACAGATGTATGAAACTGAAATATATATATGGATTCATCTTTCAGCTGAAATATAAGGAGATTTTTGAACACTTCAAGGCTAAAGGTTACAATTTTGGACCCAAAGCTGTCCCATTTGTGACTACAAGAAAAGTCAATAAAGTTCTCAATGAGGTAAATCAAATCATAATTATAGCATTGATATGATGCTTCTTTCTGTAAAATTATTTTAAATCACCACTGGAATCTTATGTAATCCATCATAAAATAAGGATATGATTTTGCAGCATGCTTGTGACCCCACATTTTATAACATCTCTTGATGAACAAATGATACTGGAAAGCAGCTGTAACTTAGTAACCCAATATTTTACAGCCATGTCTCTGATACTCTCTTCCAATGATAAACAATTGTTATTGGGAGCTATAATGGTTGGTTCATTGCTGTCTCATCTGAGCCCCCAACAGGTTGCCCTCTAATTCTCCTGTTTTCTAGTTGTCCAAAGAAATATTCTTTCATTGAAAAAAAGATTGAAATAAAAAAAAATGAAGCTTACCATTTGTATGTAATTTGAAATCAGGGCATTTTTTTCTTTTATTGGCTTAAATGTGTGTGTAACATTTTCTCTTTTACTACAGAGGCTATATCGGGAGGCATACCACAAAAATAAAGATAAGATTCATACCACACCTGATACACCGCACATCCGTCAAGTGAAAACAAATCAAGAATCCATCAGTGATGTATGCCTCTTTTATTCAATTTTTAAAGAAGTAACATTCATAATATTGGATGTGATTTTTAAAAAAAAAATATTAAAAACCCTAATCTTCTCCCTTTTGCTTTTCAGCTGATCTACAAGACCGACTTTTTCAAGATGCAAGGGCACTTGATTTCCATGCCATACACTCCTCAGACAATGCACAGCCGTTATGTTGGAGAAATTACAAGTGATGTAAGCGACTGTTTAAAAAAGATGCCCTGCATTTAGCACGAGTGATTTCCAGTCTGACTTCTTGGCTTTCTCTTTCTCTTGCAATATTTAATTTTCCTTTTTTTTTCAGTGCTTACATTGTTTTGGAATCCAAAACTTTATGACTGTGAAATAATACATCATTTTGCATGTATCGAATAAATGTGTTCTATTGCTTAGAAGAGAAGTCTGAAACCTCTGTTGTTGCTTGGCAGATTAAATACAAAAGTGACCTGGCGTGGCTGAAAGGCCTGGGCTGCTTCCTGTATGATACGCCAGACATGGTCCGTTCTCGGCATTTGAAGAAACTTTGGGTATGTTTCTTTTTCCTTCTCTCTCTTGGTTGACTCATTTTTAAAAAACTCATTCATTCAGTAGATGAAAATTTCATCAGGGCTGGTTACTTGACTGGCTTTCTTTTGTTGGGTTTTAAATTTTTCTTGTGTTGCTGGAGGTTAAACGAGGTCGCACCATTTGTAATGGGAGTTCTTCCTTTTTTTCAGTCTCATTATGTCTATACCGACGCTGCAAAGAAAGCGCAAGACAAATACCGTGTGGTTCTGGACACTCCTGTTTACCGGAACATCCAGGAGCTGAAGACTCATTTGAGTGAAGTGAGTTTGATGCTTTCAGTCTGTCTGCTGTAAATATATAAGACCTAAAATATAAGCCCTAATAGGGTTTTTCAGAATGCTCATAAGTCCTACCCCAAAAATAAACCCTAGTTAAGTGAAACCCCGTCCTCCACCATGGTGCAACAACCAGAAGAAGATGACATGACTGTATTTGAATAACTGTAGATGGTTGTACATGAAAAAAATAAATAAAACATCCCCTGAAAATAAGCCGTAATGCATTTTTGGAGCAAAAATTAATATAAATCCCTGTCTTATTTTGGGGGGAACAGAGTACAGTGGAAAGGACCATAAGGGACCTTGGGTCATAATGTGCATGCAACATTTTGCACAGAATGGGACAGGGGTGGAAGAAAAGGGTTCCCAGGGAAGGGCTGTCTGTCTACGGATAGATCACTCTTAATGCACATACACTGCCAAAAATAAATAAATAAATAAATAAAAAATTAGTGGGAGTCTTTTCGTAACAGCACCACCAGAACCAAGTGTTTGTTGAGATCAACAACACAGTTGCTACTTCTCCCAGTCTTATATGTTCAGAGAACTATCAGAAATCAGATCCCAAGAACCAAGTCTTCACATCTTATTACCCTCTATCAAGGGTATATGTTAAGCTTATTTTATTATTGCAGTTAGATTATGAGAATCACCTCTCACTCAGCCATGTTGGACTTTATTCTGCTGAGTGCCAATTTGTTGACCCTTTTACATGTTTCTCTTTTAATGTAGTATGTAACACACTGAGTACGATATGTTATATAAGTCAGAATTGCCATATTATTTCTCCTTCCAGCTCGTATACAGAGCTGCAGGCAACAAACAGAAAACGAAGTACACCTCTATCCTTGATACGCCAGATTTTGAAAGGGCCAAAAGAGGACAGAAGATACAGAGTCAGGTAAGAACATTTTGTTCATAGAAATAAAATTGGATAACATCCATCAGATTCTTGCTCAGAAAGTCATGGGGGGGGCATGTATAAGTGTATAAATATTTGCCAGGTAGTTCCCACTCCTAGGTTTGAGGAGGGGGACTTGTCCTTTAAAGCTCTCATTAAAATAGAGCAGTTAGTCTTTAATGTGCCACAACCTTTTTATCTTCTTTATTTTTTTTATTTTTTTTTACTTTTTGTTTTTGGCCTGGTCTATCTAACTAGTGTTTCCAGGCAGTTTAATGAAAACAAATCAGCGAGCCTTAGAAAAAAGAATTCATTGCAATTGTATAGAAATTTTATTAAACACACAGACCTGGTGTAGTTGTGTAGGTGCCCCCTAGTAGGATGAAAGTAACAGTGTTTTGCAACTGAAGGAGAATTTGCCAAATGCTACTCTCCTTGCGTACATCTCATACAGTTGTGGTACTAATTATAGCTGGATCTGCTTGGCATATCAACAACGGTATATTGAGAACTTTTCATCCTGCCATAGATATGTGCCTTGCAACTGCACAAAATGACTATTGCAAATAGTTTCCTCTCCTTTCTAATCACTGAGGGCGCTTCCTTAGAACTGTTAACTGTTAAGTCAGCCTAGTGGATTCTTCAGTTTCTCCTCCACCTCCACAAGTTCTATCTTTATTCCAAACCCTCCATCTCCACATCTACTCTTTGTTCGTTCACATGGATATTTCAGTACCTGATGTCAGAACTAATTCTTTTAAGGGCACCTTCAGTTCAATACATAAGACACTACCTTTCTGCTTTAAACTGCATTGCAATCCATAAGAATAAATGGAAACATTATCTTGGTGCCTTATTGGGTTAGGATGAAAATAAGGCATTCTTCTGTCACCTCTGACAGCATTGGTTATGTTTTGTTGCTTTCTAAATTGGTCACAATGAATTGCATGTCTGCTATCAAAAATATTCCTACAGCTAGATTAAAGGAAGTGTCGTTCAGTGACAGAGCACCTTTCTTGTTCAATCTCTGGTGTCACCTATTTGTAGTTCCTAACTAACTGCATTGGGAAAATGCTTTGCTTGATACTTTAGATAAGTTGGAATAAGTATGTGCTGAAAAAATAGACCAGTGACTGTCTTGTCTTAGTCAGTATGCAAGAATCAGTGGGTAAAGGAATACATTTTTTTTTGTAAACTGGGGTCCCATTCAGTCACTCTGCCTGCGCAATGGATCACTGTGCAAGCAGTTTGACTTTTGTTCTTCTTTATGCCAGTAGATAACTAATACAGTACTTCCTTCCACGGGCAGAAATCACTGATACTTACAATGGGCTGCCTTAGCTTGTGGAACAGGAAGAAGGGAGTGCTCCTGGCAGTGTGCCAGCAGAGCTGTCCACTCTTCTGGTGCTGAACGAGATCCCAGCCATTTTGTACATATGAAACATCCTTTAATATTGTTTTGTTCTTTCTTTGCTATAGTACTTGTATGTTGAACTTGCCACCAAGGAAAGACCTCATCACCACGCTGGGGATCAGACACCTGCTTTAAAACTTGCTAAGCATGTGAAGGACTTTGCCAGTGAGGTAAGGCTGGATTCAGAACATTTTAATGTTGATTCAGATGCTAAGTAAAGTGGTGCTTAACCATGTCCTTAAATATTAGGTTGCATGACATTAATGCTGTTATCATGATAGCACATCAAAGTTAACCCTCGTGTTTCTCTTTTTCCTTCTTTCACTGCTCCTCAATGAAGAAAAAATACAAAGCCCAATATGAGAAGCTGAAGCACAAGTATGTGACCGTTCCTGACACACCAATCATCATCCGGGCTAAGAAGGCTTACCTGAATGCTAGTGATGTAAGGACCTGACAAAAAAATGGACAACGTTCATGTGTTAATTGTACAAATGACAATTACAAATGATTTGCTGTGCTTATTAGTTACCTAGGTTGTTCAGTCAGACTAGCAGATTCTCCCTCTCTGTAACTAATTGCCTAGGAACGAGGGACATAATGAGCTGATCTTGGATATTCTACCTAAACTGAACAGGAAAGCTAAGTTCCACCCAAATGAATAATTCTTCCACCTCCAATTATACAGCCTGGATCTGGCAACATACTTTCCAGTCCTATTACTTTCTCCTGTATCATGGAGCCCCTTCCCTTCTGCAGTCCACTGCGCACCCTGGAAATCTGTTTGAAAGCACTGGGAGAATCTCTCACACAGTTATTTGGTACCACAAAGAGCACTGGTGGGACCAGAACGGTAACCACAGAGGCTGTGACAGGACTGGAAAAAGGGGGAAAGGCTTCCATTCCAGATAGGATTAGGAAGTGCGCTCAGTTCCTACAGCTCTGTGTGAATAACACAAGGAACTATGATTTTATGTTTTAACAACTCAGTGGGAAACTAGGATTGAATAAGTGAAGCCTGTTGGTATTGACCTTATGCTCAGACCTTTGTCTGCCTGCCTATCTGTATTGGAACAATATCTGTATTGAGCATACCAGATGAAAACTGTGCTTTGTTCACTGTAGAGGTGAATCAGGGCTAAATAAATGTTTTATGAACAATATAAGACAGGGGTTCCCAACTCCCGGTCCATGGCCCGATGCTGGTCTGTGGGCTTCCCAGGACTGAGCCACAGAGATGGATCTCTGCCCTCTCCCCCCACGCATGGAGCCCACCCCCGCAACTGGTCCATGCTTCCAAAACGGTTGGGGACCGCTGATATGACATATTTAAACTGACAATTTACTACATATTCTTGTTTTCCTCAGCTGCGCTACAAAGAAACTTTTGAGAAGGCAAAGGGTAAATACCACACTGTGAAAGATGCCCTGGATATTGTGTATCATCGCAAGGTCACCGATGATATTAGCAAAGTACGTGCGTAGCCTCCTGAATAATCTCTCCTTCATACATTTGAAATGCAACAGATAAGCAAGCGTTGTGAGGTCTAACTGCATGTATAATGTGAGGGCTGCTGCTTTAATTATACGGACATGCTTTTAGCTTCCCTTTCTCCAAATGCAAGCACCCCCTGAGCTGCCCATGTTGGTCTGAATCCCCACTTGCGAAACAACTCAAAGTAGGGATGGGACGCTGTCAACACAATTGCCTATTTGACAGCGTTGTTTACCTAAAGATGCAGCTAACTCTTATTCATAGAATTCGTTGCTCTCTCACGTCCTGTTGCAGCTCCCTCCTTCTCTAGCATGCAAGCTTTTGCCATACTCTCTCCCCCCCATATGCCAGTGTTTTTTCCCCAGACTGCCATTTCTCTTCATTTGCACTGTGAGGCATCCCAGCCTGCCTGCTTAAGTGGACCCCTGTGGTTTCCAGCCACTGCAAAGAGACCAGGCAGCTCAGCAGGGCTAAGGGAGTTTGCTAGTCAAGCCTCAGCTCAGTACAGCTGTATTCCCATGAGTCCCTGGTGGAATGCTAGCACTGCCCTCCATGCCAGTCAGACATGCCCTCCTTCCCTCTGCCCCTGATCTTGCATGATTCGACAGGACCTTAGTCCTGTGTCCCATCTCTCTCCCTTTCAGCTGCACTTCTGTACACCTAGCTGTTATTACATAAAGCAGCATAGCTGCACCAGGACTTTCTAATGAGAAATGGCACAGTAAAATGGCTTATGATTGCAGAAACCATCTTGCTGGGGAGGAGCCAGGCCTTCTCAGGGGTCATTCCTCAGCTCTAGAATGAATGGCCATCTAAAATTTGCCTGGCCCCCTCTTGGGTGACCTTTAAGAAATTCCTTAAAACCTGCTTATTTTGGCAAGTTTTTCAAAGCAGTCCATCTGAATCAAAGCATCAGCCTATCATATTGAAGGGCTGGCTGCTTTTAAATGTAATGCCACTTTAGCTTCAGTTTTAATTAGGTTTGTGTTACTGTTTGTTATTATCACTGCTGTGAACCACCCAGAGTGACCTTTGGTCAGATGGGCAGTATAGAAATTGATTAATTAATTAATTAATTAATTCCACTGAATAACTAAGCACGCATCATAACGTCGAGTGGATTGTTGTATTTGTCATTAATTTCATAGAATCTATTTTTCAAACTTTGATTTTGAGTTTTTGTTTTGTTTTGTTTTGTTTTGCACCCCAGATAAAATATAAAGAAAAGTACATGAGTCAATTAGGAATCTGGAGATCGATCCCAGACCGGCCGGATCACTTCCACCACCGTGCAGTTACCGATGCAGTCAGTGATGTGAGTGTGAACCTGACGTGATAATTAGTTGTCCTACAAGGACCGGCATTCCAGAACAGAGGGCTGTAGTTAATTCCTTGCAGGAACGTGGGAGGGTTCACTCAAAATGCATGTAATCAGTGGCGAGTTTTCTACTTTTGCTAACATTTTTTCATCCTTTGGATTGAAGACAAGATCTGTTAAGGTCCCAGTGAGAATTCAATAGCATTGTGGTTTGGAGAACCTGATAATATTAGGAGAACTTAAGCGATCTTAAGAGGTACAGTGGTGCCTCGCTAGACGATGATAATCCATTCCACTGAAATCGCTGTTTAGCGAGATCATTGTCTAGCGAAAAGCATTTCCCTATTGGAATGCATTGAAACCTGTTTAATGCGTTCCAATGGGGAAGAATCGTCATTGTCTAGCGAAGATCAGCCATAGGAAAGCTGCTTTGCGACCCGCCGATCAGCAGTTTAAATAGTGGTCTTGCGAAGCGTGGAGGGAGCTGTCAAAATCATTGTCTAGCGAAAATCGGTTTGCGAAGCAGGGACCAAACATTGTCCAGCGAAATTCCCCCATAGGAATCACTGTTTTGCGAATCACTATTGCAAAAACTCAATGTCTAGTGAAAAAACTGTCATGCGGGGTAACTGTCTAGCGAGGCACCACCGTATAGCTAAGAGCAGTTAACAGTTTTTCATGTTGAATATATGTTGCAAAGCAGATGGCTAGAGTTTAGACAGCTATTTGCTCTAGCAGGAGCAAGTTTCACTTGTGAAATAGCCAGAGGTTGGAAGGGGTTTCTTTTCTTTTTTCTTTTCTTTCTTTTTTACCTGTAACCCATGGAATTGTTTAGCCATCCTAGCTAGTACCTCTGGACAAAGGAATCTTTAACTTCTGATGATCTGCTTGCTCAACTGCAACTTTCAAAACCACATTCCATGCCATTTCAAAGCGTTCATCAACTCAGGACTCACTGGATATGTGCAGTCTGCTTGCTCAACTGCAACTTTCAAAACCGCATTCAAAGCGTTCATCAACTCAGGAGTCACTGGATATGTGCAACTTCAGCAAAATTAACTAGCCACAAAAGCCTCATTCTCTCTCTTTCTTCATTATTAGTTTTATAGATTTTAAAAGGCAATGCATTTTTTTTTTTAAAAAATGAATAATTTAATGCCATTGTATTTTTTTAAAATGATCTACTTGTTTTGATACATTGGCTTTTTAAAAATGGTATTTGGATGATAGTTATTTCAGGTACTTAGTGTTCTAATTCTGTTGTGGTTGGCAGGAAAGTCTATCTGGATTACAATTAACTACTCAGAAAGTGGATACATCAAGAGTTTAATTTTAAAGCTGTGAAAACTCAAACTGAGCCTCCTAATAATAGGAAGGTTGAAGGTGTCTGTTTGGAAATTCAGCCCCAGGCAACCTTTAACCAGAAACTGACTTCTACTGATAGTCATGCCTTCCATATCAAAACACCAGACTTACTATGTGGTGCAAAGCTCCCTTAAGAGGAAAAAATAATCTGTTTATTCTAAGATGAGCTTGCCACAATCTACATTTGAAAATAAGTTTGCTTTGGTTTTGTAAGTGGTAATTGGAAGATAAGCATGACTTTATTTTTATATTCAGTTTTTCAGATTTGTATGCCTGAAAGTATAACATTGTAAGAGAAAGAAATACGTATTTGATGAATGTGTGGCTTGACCCCAAGAAAATATAATTTTTGACAACTGATGAACTGTATTGGAGTTTTTTTCATGTACAGCACAAATAATAGACCTTTGTGTCTTCTGGAAATAATTTCAGATCATAAGCATTGCTTGTTTTGTTTTTGCAGGTTAAATATAAGGAAGACTTAGCATGGCTCAAAGGCTTTGGTTGTTATGCTTGGGACACACCTGATCTCGTTCTGGCAGAAAAGAACAAAGCATTATACAGTCCGGTATGTTTGTTCCTGACAGCTAAAAGAGAGGGCTCCTTCCCTGCACCCCACAAATTTGATTGAGTATGTAAGAATAGTTAAGAATCTTGCATGCAAACATGGATGTATGTATGAGACAATTTAGAAACCAAAGCCCCATTCTTCATCTTTGAAACCTTGTTATGGTGGGATGATGATGGTAGAATTACTGCTGTGTAATGGTACTCAGCCAGCTAGAACAATTCAGCCACATCACTTTTTTTTGAACTACCAGCTAACCACAAAATAAAAAGAGCAGAACTGTGTGGGATGTTAGTGCTTAGGTCCCATTGAAGTGAATGAGGACAGTATGCATGTGTGCGCGCGCGCGCACACACACACACACACACACACACAAAGGAAAGGACTCCCCTGCTTAGTGATAAGAGTCTCCTGTATCATCTATTTTGCAAGGGGCTGTTTACATTCTAGTGATTCCACCCTTCTATAAACAAAAGATAAAGTCTTTTCTTTTGTACTGAAATCCACCCACTTCTCATCTCAACTGTTCACTCCAACAATGCCCTTCCCACTGCAACTTCTGTACTCACTCATTTGGGAGTCGGCTCCTTTGGGTTCTGTGGGACTTCCTTCAGACTTAACATCCATGGGATGGGTATTCAACAAGATCATTGTTTCTTCCTGAATTTGTACCCTGCCATGCAAGATAATGCCACTGGTTAAATAACTGCAGTAACAGCAGTAAGTTGGTGTTATTTCTCCCTCATTATCAGTTCACTTGCAGATGTTTTTCCATGGCAGGCAAAGATTATTTTTATTTATTTGTTACATTTATACCCTGCCCATCTAGTGCCTGAGCACTACACTGGGCAGCTAACAGTAGTTAAAAACATAACTGCCCATCCCTGCCCACAAAAACATAAAGCACCAGAAAACATGAATGACCCAGGATATCCAAAAAGAAAGAAACCTGGATGGCAAATCAAAACCAATAATCAATTAATGGGTCTCATGAGGGTGTCGAAGGGATAAGATAGGGCCTCTTCAAGCAGTATGGGTTTTGGTTGTTGTGGGTTTTTCGGGCTCTTTGGCCGTGTTCTGAAGGTTGTTCTTCCTAACGTTTTGCCAGTCTCTGTGGCCGGCATCTTCAGAGGACAGCACTCTGTGCTCTGGTTTTTATCCTTTTCCTGAGGGCCAGATGGGAGGAAGTCTGGCATATATCTATCTGCAGGTTACGCATTCCATGGCCTTGCAGCCACCACCAAGAAGGCCTGGTTCCTGGTGGTAGTTTTCAGGGCCTCTCTAAGGGTTTCCACCCACAAACATGACACCTGGCTAGCCTGGGACAATCTTAGGGAGAGACACTCCATCACGTAACAGACATTGCACCTTCACACCAGATAAATGTTATGGGCATTTTCATATCTGCTTTTGGGGTTGTTTTTTTTTACCACACCCTTATAATCATTGGCTTCAATGTGTGCTTTTTTTTCTTTCTTACTTGTTCCAGTACAAGTACAAGGAATCATTTGAAAAGATCAAGTCCACATTCAAGTATGTTGCTGACACTCCAATTAATAGGCATGTTAAGTATGCTACTCAGTTGATGAACGAGGTAAGGAGAACAGAACTCTCTTGTGACATTATCATCATACAGGGCAATGGTTTGTATCTGACAACATCATTCCAACAGCCAGGGAACAGACAACCAATCATCTTTCTTCTCGCATTCCTTTTCACCTGGGATCTGATCCAGAGGGTCTTGTAACCTGTCAAAGCAGATTTGGGAGGCATGGGTGATGCTCTAGGCTTCCCAACCTGGCATGGGTGATGCTCTAGGCTGCAGTTCCCAACCTTGAGTCCCCAGTTGTTTCACCATTAGCTGCGTCGCTCAAGATTTCTGGGAGTTGTAGGCCAAGAACATGTGGGAACCCAAGGTTGGGAACCACTGCTCTTGAGGGGACGGACTCTCCCTTTGCACAAGTGGGAAACTGGTTGTGTGATAATGGATTCATAAAGCCCAATTCAATGGCACGTGCCAAGACAAAATATATCGGTCAAAGACACTAGGATTCTGGATACATTTCAGTGGAAATAAATCCCTTTTTATGGGACATATCACGATAGTCTAAAAAAATAGAACTAGTTGAGGTTTGCCCAAGATGATCCCAGAGCCTTAACTGTTTTTCTTTGAAATGGCTAATGTCCATGATATATTTCTTAATCTATTACCTATGGGCATGACATGGGCAGAAGTGGCATGTGCAAAGGAGAAGAATGTGAAAATTCCAACACTCTCAGTTTTCTCAGTTCTCAGTGTTGCAACTATAATTTAGGGAGAAGCACAAGTTGCCTTCTGTGTTTCCTTGCTATGGTTCTTAGTTTAATTAAATATATGTTAAATAGATTTAAGTTATAAACATCAAATATAAAAGAATCACAGATAGCTAGGGCAAGGATTTCTATGACATTTCTATGACATGTCATATTTTTTCTGCAACCTATATTTAAACGTATAAGTAAATTCCAACATGTTTATGAGTAATCTGGTATGAGAGGCCAAATTACTCATAAACATGTTTTAAAGTTACTTATAAGTTCAAATATACAGTAGGTTGCAGGAAAAAATGATGTGACATAGAAATCCTCACCCTACAGATAACTATTAAAGAAAAGTTAACTGATGTATATAACAACATGAAAAGAATAATGTGCATAAAACCATCAGTGATCATAGCATACTAGTTATTATGAGAGGTAGTATATATGTAATTTCTGTTTTGTGTATTGCATGTTTAATATAATAGATTGACTTTTATTTAGCCAATTATCTATTTTTCCAAAGGCTGCAATATTTCCCTTTTACAATTTTTTTGATATGTAAATAAAAGTAACCTTCAGTTGCATATGTAACTATGAATTAAGCTTATTGGTGTCACTGCAGGACAGAGATAAGCTTCATTTGTCCCTCTGAAATCTACGGCTTAACTCTGTGCTTCACTGTGGCAACCTGACATGGTACTAATTCAAAATGTCGAGGTCTCAGCTTGTCAATTCAGCATTTGCATTATAGATTGTACCTTTGTCTTTAAAGCAGATCTGCGGTAACTTTGTATATCTCGTAAATACAAATTTAAAAATTTTAATAGTGCTGTAGTATTTTTATCACGAGGCACCAGTGTTTTCTGTGCTTACTGGACGTAAAAGCCTCATTAAACTTTGTGGGGCTTATTTTTGAGTTGGTCTGCATAAGATTGCTCCTTAAACATGATGACTGAACTTTTTTTTTTGTAATGAGTAAATTGGTTTTATGAGGATGTTGGCTGTGTTGATACACTGGTTTCAACATTATCTTCTGTGCCTCCCCTTCTAACTTGACTCCCATCCCATGTGCTGCCATGAGCAGAAATTGTACAAAGCTGAGTATGAGAAGAAGAAGGACAAGTATTCTCTTGTGGTGGATGATCCCAAAACTTTGCTGGCCAAATGGGGAGGTGAACTGAGCAGCCAGGTACTGTGGCCGTGTCGGCCAGGACATCCAGACTGTGGCCATCGCTACACTCGGATGCCAATTCTTTACCTGTCTGAGATGCTTCTGGGCAACAATATCACTGGCTTTACCTCTGATATTGAGTCTGTTTTCTTAGTATTGTTATTTGCAGCTGTTTGTATTTTGCCACCCAAAACAGCACACTGTCTTTTTGGGTGAGCCTGTTCGTACTTTGTATTCTCATAAACTGTGCACCCATGTGCAGGGGAAGAAGAGTACTTTGTCCATCTAGGGACAAATTCAGTCTAGACAACAAAGTCAATCTGGAGATGAGAGGGCCACCTTACTTTTAATTAAACACAAAGGCCATTCAGCCATTGTGTGTTGAGATGATCAAAGGATCCATGGTGCCCCTGCTGTTTTTCCAATTCAGTTATGTCATTGTTGAGTCTACCTACCCCTAGCGGGCACACTGTTCATGGGTGCAATGTTGAGAATACATAGTTATCCCAAAAGCCTGAATCTCACCATGTTGGGATTTGGAGCCATTCTTGTTGTCTTCAAAAGTCTCTTTTGTGCTTCGTTGCTGTTTGCATGGACAGAAAAAATATAAGTCTAGTGCCAAGTTGTTCCGGGAACACGGATGTAACGAAATTCTGCGACCGGATATGCTGATGGCATTATACAACACAAACCAGTGGAGCCAGGTAACGTATTGTAATAATAACGGTAACGACAACATGTCTGTGTATCTCACCGCCATTCCCCAACACCATTTGTCTTCATCACATCCAGCCAATAAATGTTGTAGAAAAGAAGCAGGAGGAGTGCTCTTGCCCCACTGATCTGAATAGGGAGTCTGCAGATATTAGTGAGGTCATTTTCTAGAGACTGGAATAAAGTTTTGTGGAGCAAAGCAAATAGGCTGCCATCAGTGAGGCAGAGGTAGGAAGGGGTAAACTGGAGACCCCTTGAGGAACTCGGATCACCAGGCATAGGTTTAAACTTCATTGTGGAAGTGTCTTCGTACAACCTAGTATTTTTTTTTATTAATGAACAGATGCCATTCAGTCCCATGAGACTTAGATTAGCCAAGAGAGACCTGCAGTTCACTCATGGCTATGGGTTGCCCTCTCTCTGTTTCCAATATCTAGATCCTCTTACTTGTATCAACGTTGAATCAATGGAATTCAGTGAAGGGTTAGCTTCCCATTTGGTGCTTGATTGGATGGACTTTAGCTGGAACTAACAATTGGATTTAGGCCTATGTAGATATAGAATCTACAAGCCTATATTCCACTCCAGCCCCACTCTCATAATTATGATCATCTGGCTAGCAACAATAATATTCTTTTAAAATATAAAGTGTGCTGCTTATATACTGCCTCATAGCGGTTAAAGCACTTTCTGGGTGGTTTGCAGTGTAATTATGCAGGCTACACATCCCCCCCACCTGCCCCCGTGATCTAGGTACAAAATTTACCAACCTCAGAAGGATGGATGGTCAAGTCAACCTTGAGCTAGCTGCCTGGACCCAGGATCAAATTTGAGTTGCCAGTAGAGTCTTTGTTGCAATACTGCAGTTTAACCACTGCGTCGTAAGGCTCCTGTATATCTATGTTGGACTGTTTACGAAAGCAATAGTCTTCACTGATTGCTGTTATGGTGTCATAACAGCAAGCTGACCTGTTCAGCTTCTAACCTTGTAGTGTCCATTTTCATGGCATCAAACAGTAATAGTTCTCCTATATGCCAGATTTTCTTTGATGGCGACCTATATAGTCTGTGCTATTTTAGTTGAAGTTCCTGCCTTCTCTGCCTTTTAATAGAAATAAAGAAACATCAGATCTTGCCCATTTAGTATGTCCTGTTGGTTTTTTGCTTTATGTCTATTACTGGGCATCTTTGTTAAGAAGAAATTCAGTTTCATTCTGCAGATAATGCATATACTGCCGCAATCTGTCTCAAGTGCTGAACTTTCAACAATGACATTCATTGTTCTCCAGCTGTCCAAATTCATTTCTTCCAGGTTTGCCTAGGCTTTTTTTAAATCAAGTTCAGGTTTATCTCATTTGCAGCACATTCTTACGTATTCTGTTTAGAAGTAAGTACTGTTGAACTAGATGAGACGAGACTCAGTCTAAGATATGTATGCAGAGGACTGCTACTGCTCTCTTCTAAGCACAAAATGAGGCTTGCAATTTGGATCTAAGAAAAGATAGCCAGTACCCCATAATGAATGGCTACCCAAACATCACATCCACTTCATAGTGCTTAAATTTCAGAGGTTGGGATTCACAAATGAATTTAAGATTAAGCATTTTGATACTGCTTAATCCCATTGACACCTTTCATCTAGATCCTAAATGTATTAATATCCAGCTATGTTCCTAAACATGTCCACTTAGTTACTTACATTATAATAAATGAAAGCTGCTTCTGTGCATTCTTGTCATTATTTTATATACGATGTCATTCATGGCATATACATTTCTTTTTGTCCTTATGCATGTTCTGTGTGATCTTTATATGTGTTTGCATGCACCAAATATAAAGCAAAATAAACCAAAACATGTTTCCACATTGTCTTTCAATCACTTTTAAGATATGGAACAGTTTTCCAAATTTAAAAGAAACTGCGCCAAGATTCTCAGTAATCTAGAGTGATCTGTTAAGAAAGAGAGAGAGAAATTCTACCGTCCCATATTCCATAATTTTTTTCTATTTTTAAAAAATCATCAGTACAATTGTTAATCAAATATTTTCACCATTAAGCATAGTTAAAATGTCAGCTGAGTTAGTCAAAACACTCCTATGGAATATTATTGTAGCAACAGAAAGTACAAATCAACGTTATCTGTGGTACCAAACAGTTTGGTAATGTAATAAAGTACTACAGTCCTCAGTCGAAACACTGTAATTTCAGTAGGCCTCATGAGCTCAACTAGGCTGAAAAAGGACTATTTAACACATTCTGAAACATTTTACTCACCCACTCCCCTCATTCTTGTAAGTAGGTCCTTTGACTACAAGCACAGATGAAGAGTCTGAGGTGCGCTCTGCTTGTGTCAAACCCTGTTTGTTTAGTTCCTTTATTTATCCCATTCATATCCTGTCCAGGAAAGGAAACGTAGGATTATACCATTTTTATCCTACACCAAGCCTGTGGGATAGGTCAGAGAGGATGGCTCTTAAAAAAAAATCCATCCTTGTAGATACATATCTGAGGGCTGGTATTAACGGAGGCTTCTTCCCAGACCAAATCCAGCACTCTGTCCACCACACCTTACAGGCTTCCTTTGATGTCAGTGTAACAAAAGGCAGCTTAACTGGCATTTCCGTTGTGTAGGCATGTCTCCCCACGTATACACAGTGTACACAGTTTCGGTTGACTTCTGTGACAGCTGCTGACAGCAGGCAGGCTAGCATTAGCTCTCCTCTTAAAAGGTGTATCTCTAGTGTTCGGGTGCTGTTTACACTTCCTTATTTTTCTTTCAACAGTACAAGTACAAAAGGCTGTACGAAAAGCAGAAGGACAAGTTTACGAGTGTTGTGGATACCCCTGAACATCTGAGGACTACCAAAGTCAACAAGCAAATCAGTGATGTAAGTGCAGATATTGTAAAAAAGAAAAAAAGGGTGACATTAAATGTCTTTCTGGACTAGTATCTGTATGGATATTTTTGAAAGGAAAAAAAAGACTAATATTGCTATCCTGCACATCCCTACTCAAGAGTAAGGTCCACTCAATTCAATGGGACTTTCTCTCAGGTAAGTGTGTACAGGATTGTATCCTGAGTATGGACTAATTTGTGTGTTGATTAAAGAAGGCTAGTCAAGAGGTTATAGTGTTGAGAGAGCCCAGATGAGGAATACTTTAGTATGAGATTAACCTCTTGCGCAGCCTTTGGCTGGTGGCAATGTCCTTTAACTATCAGGAAGTGGGAGGCAAGAGGAAATGACTGGCTGGATGAGAACCCCCTGGCAAAGAGGTGACCTTGGGGGGGAACTCAATGACAGTCAACTGCCTCTTTTGAGAACGGGAGTTCTTTGACTCCGTAGGGATTTGCACTGGGTCCTCCTGGCTCTGGTGTGACAAACCATGCCACACCACACTGTCCAGTGCATAGTTTTCTTGCGTAAACAACTCAGACCTTCCACAGGAAGTCAGTGCAGGGGCACTGTATGATTTATGAACTTGATGTAAGAACGGTGAGCCATGCTATTTTTCCTCCCTCCTGTAATACTTTTTTGAGGGAGACAGTTTAAAGCCTGAGTTGGTAATACTTCCCCTGTGGAGACGCACTCATGGAAATGCTAACTATGCTGCATTAAGAGCCACAGTATGTTTTAGAGGAAAGTATATATTGCTACTGAACTCCAAACATTATAGATAACCTGAAATCACATCAAGAGTTATGACTGAGGCATTTGTCTGTGTCTGAAAACCCAGATTTATCAAAGAAGCATGTGCTGATGGCCTGAAGACCAATCCCAACAGCAAGCCTACTGATTTGCAAATTGTAAAAGGGAGAAAAGCTCCTGCTAGGAGTATCACATGCAGCAAGGGCTTGAAAAATTCCGTTTTCTAGGGTTTTTTTGGTTATCTATATTGTGTAGTTGGCCCTTAAGCCAGTGACATGTGAGATGACTGTATATCCTGCTAACCCCACTGAGCGTTCAATACATGTAGGTGAAAACTACATAATCAATGTATTGCTCTCATGGAATGGATCAAGTACACTTTTTTAAACTTGTAAATGATTATATATAGGTTTATGATAGGTACAAGTGGAAGACAGTGGAGGTGGAGATGGAACTCTAGATAAATGGAGAAGAGGTGTGTGCCCTTCTGCGGACATGTTGGGCTGAATCAGGAAGCCATATTGCCTGGAACAGACCTGTCCAGCATGTCATGGGCAACAGGGTGATAGCAGGGGAATGAGGTGGGGAGATGGTTTAAGAGCCTATAGGGCTGACCCCTATAATTTTTCTAGATGCAGGAAACTTGACTGCTTAATGCATTGTGGATTGTCTTTTTGTTGTTCCCTAGCACATGCTAAAAGTCAATAAAACAACATGTCTGTATCAGTTACCACATCATTTCTTCTTTTGTATTATGAATTTGAAATATAATTAATTGATATGCTAATTTAAATTTTCTTTTGTGTGCCAGATCCTTTACAAGTTGGAGTACAACAAAGCCAGACCCAAAGGCTATACCACAATTCACGATACCCCCATGTTACTCCACGTACGCAAAGTCATGGACAGAATCAGTGATGTAAGTAAACAATTTTTTTTTAAAAAAATTGAAGTCAGGAAAGTTAATTGCATATTGATGACTTCTAATGGGTAAGAACTAATGCTTCTACAATGCGAGGACTGTGAACACATTTGGGCGTGCATATTGATGACTTCTAATGGGTAAGAATTAATGCTTCTACAATGTGAGGACTGTGAACACATTTGGGCACCCCTGGGCAACAACAGTGCTCTGGGCTGATCTTTTCACTTTGAAAGCTCCATTGGATTGCTTTTGACATGAACAATGAGGAACAGGGATGCTTGTACATTACATTGGAATTACGTTGTAGCAACTAGTCTTCAGCAATTGAAGTCTTGTCGGCTGAAATCCTGTTGCCAGAACTGGGGCCACGTAAGGCTGATGATGTCTTCAGCAGCGGTGATTTTTTTGGGGGGAATTTAACATTTCCGATTTTATTCCCAATGGCCCTGAGGTTCCTTTAGTAATCCATGTCATTGTCAGAAACATGTGGAAGCCACTGGACAGGACGGGGAAGTCGTTAATTATTATTATTATTCATTTTATTTGTATGCTGCATTTCTCCCAACAGGGGACCCAAAGCGGCTCACAATATTAAAATTCACTGGAATTTTAAAGCTGTATAGGGCTTTATAGGTAATGACCAGCACTTTGAATTGGGCCCGGAAACAGACTGGTAGCCAGTGCAATTCTTGTAACAGGTGCATTATATACTCCCTGTCGTTGGCCCCAGTCAGTAGTTTGGCTGCAGAGTTTTCCACCAGATGAAGTTTCTGAACTGGCTTCAAAGGCAGCCCCACACAGAGCACGTTACAGTAATCCAAACGGGATGTGACTAAGGCATGTGTCACTGTAGCCAGATCTGACATCTCAAGGAATGGGCGCAGCTGGCACACCAGCTTTAGCTGTGCAAATACACTTCTGTCCACCACCGAAACCTGGGCATCCAAGCTTAGGGATGAATCTGGGAGTACATCCAAGCTTAGGGATGAATCTGCAGACCTGTGTTTTCAGGGTTACCTGGGCATCCAAGCTTAGGGATGAATCCGGGAGTACACCTAAGGTGCGGACCTGAGTTTTCAGGGGGAGTGTAATCCCATCCAGCACAGGTAGTATCCCTATTCCCTCATCTGCCTTCCTTAATTACTGAGAATCACAGTGGCAGGGAAGACTGCTTAAATTCAAAAGACAATACAGTATATATATATATGAGTGTTAATGAATGTAGCTGCAATTTCCAGAAACCTATAGTTATCAAAATGAAAATTTTGTGTAGACTCATTCGTAGAGCAGATATAAAGGCTGATCTCTTGTTTACATGATTTGTTTAACAAGCATCACTCAGTTTGTTTGGTTAGAAAAAGGTCCTGGGACTTAATTTTTATGCATTTAGTTTTAAGCTGTAGCAGTGTAAGAATGAAATTATTTTTGGTCTACGTACCTATAATTACTAGTTAATTGATTGTTTTCTTGCTTTATGCTGTCAATCCTGTGCAAGTTCTCTGCTTCTGTTGTGTGGGACTGTAACCTTAACTGGGTGTTTTAAACAGCCCTTGAGCAGGAATGTAATGTGTGTGGGTTTTTTTTACCATATTTTCTGGAGGAATACTGAAGCCTTAAGGCCTTTGCTGCTGTAAACTGCTACAGAGCAAAAATACTGGAGTTATCATGCACTATCCATTAAGTTGGGCCCTTCTTAAATGTGCCCCAGTTAAGCACAACTGTGACAGGCACATTTGCATTTGAAGCATAGCTTGTGTGTGTGTGGGGGGGGGGCTTTTTGAGTGATATAACATGACATAAGCTCCTTTGAGCCTCTGAAATACATTCTCCTGTGCAATGTAACCAAAGGATGTCCATATATCATATCTAAGAAGATAATTATCTTTTGGGTGATTTCTGTTTAAACGTGGTTGCGTTATTGGGTTGTGCTCTTTGCAGAAGTGTAAAGCATTACTCTTGTTATTCCAACAGCTGAAATACAAAGAGGTCTACCAGCAGAATAAGTCTCACTGCCACATCGTCCCAGATTCCGTTCATATTAAGGCTGCCAAGCAGGCCTACAAAGTGAACAGCAATGTGAGTTCATTTTTATTCAAGTTTTTATTGTTACAATTATATTCTACCTTTCCATTACAAAAAAGGAACTTGACCACATATAGGCCACTTTGGGACCATTCTGTTCAGGCCATTTTTGGGGCCCAATTTCTCTTGCTTAAATCCTGTGTCACATTAGTGGAAGAAAGTCCCTGAGTTTTCTGGTTTTTTGGTTGGTTTTTCTAGATGAACAAACTGTACTGAACGTGTTCTTGCAGTCGGTAGCCATGCCACTACTTGCACTGCCAGTCACATAACTGAATGAAGTGTAGCATAAATTTAGTTGCACTAGTGAAGTAGTCACCTTCCAAAACTAGCCATATGTTTTTCAGAATCCCAGCTAGAGTAGATGTGCCTCTCATGGTAGCTTTAGAAGCAGATAGGGAGGAAATAGAACCATCATAGCTGGGAGAGAGAGAGAGAGAGAGAGATGTAGTAAGGATTTCTATATGCCATTTTCTTTTAAAAGCCATCAATAAGTTAGGGGAGGAAAACAAACAGATTATTATTTAGAATCCTGCAGTCCTGGCAATTCCCTAACTTCACCTGTTCAGAACCTAAAACTGAGTGTGAGATACAGTAATTAATTGTTTTAATGTGACCTGGAAGTAGTTATAACAGTAATTAATTGTTTTAATGTGACCTGGAAGTAGTTATAACTTTTGCTACATGTTTCTTGTAGTAACACATATGTGCTAAAATTTAGCAGCTATTGCTGATAGTAGAGGCAGAGACGGAAAGAGACATGGATGTTGTCAAGATAAAATTTAAATTAATATACTTCGAGTTCTTCATGGAGGGCACTGTAAATTAAGGCAGCTTGTCTTGTGCCAACTCGTTGTTTCTCTGAGTTTTGTGCCACTTGTGAAGAAAGGCACCCTCTCTTTCTCTCAAATTTTTCTTCACATGTGTCCAATACTTGCTGTACGAGTTGTGGTCTCTCTTGTCCCAGAAAACCAGCAAAATTAGGGAGGCCTGTTGAGCCCCTTTGGGACCACCAAGCATAGAAGGAGGAGGGATGTGTGGTTTTCACTGTGACGACCCCAACATGGAGCTTGCTTCTGCCTCACCCCCAACAGGCCAGAGAAGCATTTGGATTGTGTTTACAAGGGCATTAGTTCTTTTACAATGAGATCTCAGTCCTGCTTGTTGACATTTCTCTTTTAAAACAGCTGGATTACAAGAAGAAATATGAAGCCACCAAGGCCCATTGGCATTGGACTGTGGACAGGCCTGACTTCATCCAAGCTGCCAAAACGTCTCTACAACAAAGTGATGTAAGGAAAATGAGGAAGGAAAATGGCATGGGTTCTTCTTATATCTTAACGTGGTAGGCCAGACCACTGCCTGGAAGTAGGCCTCATGGCTGTCACTTCTGTGCTCTTGTCTTTTTGTAGTACGAGTACAAACTTGACCGAGAGTGGCTGAAAGGATGCAAGCTGTCTGTAACAGATGACAAAAACACAGTGTTGGCTCTGCAGAACGCCATTTTGGCCAGTGACGTGAGTACTCAAAACATCTTTTCTATCGAAGTTTGTTTGTCATAAATTTTATACAGAGACAGTCTCAGTGAATGGAAACAAGTGGTAAACCTCGTCCACCAATAGTTCAAAAATAGTTCAACATTATATAAGGAAACATGGTTGGAGTTGAGATTTCATTCTAACAGGAGCCTCCAAGTGTGAAGCAAGTACCTGCCAGTCTTCACAGGTTTCTCATGTCTTCCTTGGCCATGGCAGCTTAATTTCCATGTTTGGCATTGCCCTTCTCTGATGCTACCCAGAGCGCTGGCTATGTCCTCAACTGTTCCAAGGCCCAGCACGACTGGAGGAACAAGCCAGTCAGCTCCAGAACTCCAGTGGGAGTGAAGGCCAGAGGGTTGTTCCTGTCAAGCTGAATGTCACTGAACCTCAGAGCAAGTTCATGAATACCCCTCAGTCTTCTCCCGAGCCAGGAATAGGGCAGGAATTCTCCAAGACTGTGTACTCATTTAAGGAAGGAAGAAGTAATTTCATTGGTTCAAAGCAATATACTTCTTGGAGAGCCAAACTTGTCTCTTTCGAGTGCCAAAATGGATGGGGCAGGGAGCTTTGTAGTTAGAACAGAAGCTGATTAAAGGAGTAAAGATCTGTGATTATCCTCCAACCTCTTTCAAAGTTCCATGGCTTACATGTCAGTGTGTTTTTTTGGGGGGTGAACATTGTGTTTTTGCAGCAATAACATTTTGTTTCCTTTTAAATGCAAAGCTGCTGGTCTCCTCTGTTTTGGCCCTGAGGCTAAGGCAGAATTTGGAAGTAACACATTACAAGTAGAGGACAGCAACAATCTTTTTTTTTTTTTTAAAGGAATGTCTGGGATTTTCTATGTATCAAGTAGTGATACTTTTTCCTGTTACTTTTGGGAGACTGATGTGATTCAAAAAGCATTTTGAGGTGACCTTTCCAAATTTTTGTTTTTTGGGTCCTCCCCTCCCTGCCCACCTAAAAGGACCAATGGAGTAATGAACAATCAAAAACCATTTTTTTTGGAATGCTGACAACAGTTTCTGGTGTGTGCGCGCGCGCATGCGCAGTGAGTGACATAATGAATTCTTTTTAAAAAGTAGACTCTGGACTTGGGTGAAAGATTTATGCTACAGCTTGTCCCTTAGTTCTGAAGAAAGGGAACGAATTTTCATGGGAATGAGAGATGTGACCATGTCTGATGAACTCATTTGTAAATTCCTGTTCATGCACATAGTGTGAAGCTAATCTTCCTCCATTCCATCTCCCAGTTAAAATATAAAGAGAAGCATAATAAGGAAAGAGGAACCATCCACCCAGTTCCAGACACTCCTCAGATCCTTCTTGCAAAATCTGTCAGCTCTCTTGTGTCTGAGGTAATTAAAATATATATATATATATATGTATTGAAAAATCATTTGGTTTCAGAATGTCTTCCTTCTAAAGATGTACAATGTTTGAAGCTGTGTGTTTTCATCCTATTTAGAACAGGTACAAAGAACAGGCAAAGAAGATCCGTCCACATGGCTCTTTTACAAAATTGCCTGAAACACGAGACACTGTACATGTCAAAGAAGTAACCAAGAATGTCAGTGAGGTAGGCTGCTTCTGCATTGGTTTATTCACATGGTAGATTTGTCTTTCATTTTTGTATTTGGTGATGGAAATGATTTCTTTCCATTGCAAATCATATTATGCGCTAATTACCACTTGCAAACATGTTACTGGCTATTTATCAGGGCAGAAGTTACCATGAATCAATTCACACAGTTTAAAATCTGTATTATTCTAAAATTGCAGTTGAATAGGACTTCTGAAATTTTCTATATAGCAAAATTGGTATCCTTTGTTAGGAAAGCAGTGCACTCAAAAACATTTCTGTAGCTGAAGAGAATTGTTCTGTAGAGATTGTTCTGTATAGGACCGTTGATAAGGAACATTATTATAAATGCAAAACAAAGAAGCCGATGGGCTTTGCAAACCAAGGAGAAAATCTGTGAGAATTTAATAGTCACAGAATGTGGCACTACCCTGCTCCTTGGCCACAAATTTCATATGTGTTTGTGTGTGCCTGTGTGCATGCACACATGTAAAATTCCTGCAATAGGTGGGCAGTTGCCATTACTGGCCTTGTTGCTATTTTTGTGTCCAGCAGAACTGCCTTTCAATTGAATAAATAGTTGAAAGTGGCTGAGAACTTTCAGGAAGACTTATAGCATGGGCTGAGGAGATAAAGCTAGTTACAAATGCACACAATATATTTATATATATGGTTGTCTTGCTTGTATGTAACAGTTATGATTTATAATTCTCATTTTAAGCGTCAGTAAAATATACCCTGGGGTCACGAAGAGTTGGACATGACTTAATGACTAAACAACAAAATTATACCTTGGTTGAAAAATTAATCACCTAACTCTTATGTTTTAAACAGACAAATTATAAAAAACAGTTTCAGAAGGAGAAAGGCAAATCCAACTATTCAATAATGTTGGAACCTCCTGAAGTGAAGCATGCCATGGAAGTTGCAAAGAACCAGAGTAATGTAAGTTATTTGTGCCATTACATCATTTGGAACGACGTGTGACCCTTCTCACTGGCTGCATAGCTTAGGGGGTTGGGCATCTGGCTACAGAGTCAGAGGTTGGAAGTTCATTTCCCCACCATGCATCCCTGAAAAGCCAGCCTGTGTGGCCTTGGGCAAGCTTCACAGTCCCAGGGCACCCCCAGAAGAAGGGTTACCATAAGTCAGAATTAACTTGACAGCATGCAGTCAATTATGACACTTTTCAATGAGGTCAAGAGAACGTTGAAGTCATTCTCACACTGAACAAATGAGCCAAGGATTGAAATTTGTTACAATTTTGTTTAACTACTAGATTTAAGCTTGATGACTGTGGCTTTTGAAATTTCTCATCTTATGTTAGTACAGTACATGTTTCCTTTATACGTACTTTCAAACCTGTTTTAAACATGATCGGCAGCATCCTGTTGCTCCTCCCAACCAGAGCAGGCCTTTTGAATCAACCACTAAATGGTCAGTCAACACTTATGCTAATCCCATTCAGACAGAAGATCTGCTCCCGTTGGGACTAGTGATAGAATGCTGGTTGATACTTACATAGAAAACCACATATTTTTGTTTGTTTTGTCTTCATTAGAGTTTCAGAATTCAGTAGTGAGATGTAAACACAGACTTGCCCAAATTAGCCTCTACAAAGAAAAATCCAGACTTTTATATTTGGTTAAATTAATGTTAACTTTGCCTCTGTCCTTGTCTTATTCTGACAGCCTTTCTAAGGACCGGGCAGCGCTTCCTCCCAGATAAATCCATAGGTTGCTATACAAGGATGAAGTAGATTGGGGTCGAGAAGGCTCCTGAAATATGCATGTGTGAGGGCTGGGTGGGAAGAAACTGGCAAGCTACATCTGTGGCAGCATTTTATTTTCATCTGGAGGAATGAATGACTGCTATTTAACTCTGTGGGAAATGAGGGGAACCCAATGTAATAATGTGTAGCTAAGCTTCCCCAGGAATCCATGTGGGGAGGGCAAACATTGGACACATGCATTGTTCCCGCTTGGGAGTCACTGCGATCCATGATACTTCCTCTCCATTATCACGAGATAGAAGGAATGGATGATGCTGTTCGTTTATCAACTCTGAGCCCATCCTACTCACTGCAAAGTAGTTGACAAAATGGCAATTGAGTTTCTGTTCGTCTAAATTCGACACTGCAGGAATCATTTCTCTGTATGCTTGTTTCCACTCAGGTCCAATACAAAAAAGATGCCAAATCCAAGCTGCATTACACGACTGTGGCCGATCGGCCAGATATTAAGAAAGCCACCCAAGTCTCCCATCTAGTCAGCGATGTGAGTACATGTCAGTTTCATGGCTCGGCAACTTGTTGGGCAGAAGAAGCATAAGGATTCCAAAGGTTTCTTTTGTCTCAGCCTAGAAAACCGAGCTTTTATCATTTGTTTCAAATGTTTTGTTATTTCCCTTAAGATTGAATATAAAGCCAAGGCTCGTGGAGAAGCTGGCTTGGGAGTCAAAATGCTTGGGCGTCCAGACATCGAACTTGCTAAAGAGGTGTCCAAGCTTACAAGCCAGGTATGTCCAAATAAGATAACGATCCATTGTGCATGGTTTCTCTTCGTGTCTGTGAGCGCCACATTCCATTTATGGGAGGTTCAATGAGGCAGTGCCTCAGTCGGACCATGCAGATCTGCCCTGCCCTTTGAAGTGGGAGACCTCCTTATTTACTAAGATAATTAGGGGAGGAAATATGGATCTGTATTGCACAGATGGATTTCCATGTCTCCAAAGTTTTTTTTATTATTATTATTGCTGAACTCTTTTTCTAACTTAGTATCAAAGATTTTTTAGTCTAGGTTAATCATCTGAAGAGCCAGCCTGTGTGGCTTTGGGCAAGCTGCATAATTTCAAGATGTCCCCAGAAGAAGGGAATGGTAAACCACTTCTGAGTATTGTCTAGCTTGGAAACCCCGAGAAAGGTTGCCATAACTCAAAATTGACGTGATGACACGATTGTTATTTTTATTATTAATGGTGTAAAGCGGGGCTAGGCATCAATTACCGGTACCTGCAATCCTCTATAATGCTTTTTAAAAGCCCACCTAAAATAACAACACATTGCAATCTGCTTTTACCAATTACCTATTGTTTTCAGTGTTATTTTTATCTAAAACTGTATTATTTTCTACCTTAATTATTTTATCTTAGTTGATTCAGGAAGTCTTCAGTCACACTGAGCACCTCCTGGTTTCCATATGCAGATTACGTTGTCATCATTTAATCAGTCTGACTAAAGACTTACTGAATCAATCAAGACAGACTAAAAAAGAAACAAGGAACCTTTAATTTGTCATAAAACTTACTGCTGAAAGCAATATTAAACATTACTAAATAAATATAAACCAACTATGTTAAGTATAAAAATGCTGAAGATAAGCCAGAGAAATTGCTGGCAGCTGTACCCCCATTTGGTGGGCGGCAGATCACACAATAGGTTTATTTGCCATGGGGTTGCTTTGTGAGGACTGGGGTTCAATCCTCTGTTGGCCATCCAAACGGATCTTGTTCATGGCCTGGCTGGAATCTTTCACCGCAATTTAAAATAAAACTTCTGGGATGTCTATTTTGGTTAAGTAATGCATTTTAAAATTAGAATGGAATGATTCAGATGCTTTTAAGGAGATCCAAAATGTTTGTGGTCTTAAGGGAGAAGGTGCAGGCAAACATGAGTTTTCCAACCTCATCTTTGCCACATGCTAATATGGGAGTTGAGAAGTGTTTTCAGAGAAATATATGGCTGACAGCAAGTTAAAATCAGTGGATAACAGTAAGTTAATCCTTTTTCAATACAATACCTTCTGAAAGTGTGTTCAGTTATAGCTCCTATAATCCCCAGTCAATGGGTCATGTTGGCTGGAGAGGGTAAGTTCCATAGCCTATCATATCCAAAGACCACAATATTGGGAAAAGATATGTTATTCATCTCAATTAATCTCCATGCAATTAGAATGTGCTGCATATATAACTAAAGCAAGAGGTCTGGAGTGGGGGAGAAAGAAAAAAGAAATCTGTAATTGACAATTAATAACACCCTTCCTTCCTTCCTTCCTTCCTTCCTTCCTTCCTTCCTTCCTTCCTTCCTTCCTTCCTTCC